CACCGGCCGCAACATGCCGGCCGCGGCAGCCATTGGAGGGTGAACCAGCGGTAAAGGAAGACCTTTCTCTCTGTCTCTCTCTCACTGTCCACTCTGCCTGTCAAAAAAAAAAAAAAAGTGTTTCTATTGTATTTAACTTGTAATAACAGATGTGTTGGTTATAAAATAGAATATTAAGAAGTGCATGCACAAGCATACACACACACACACACAGAAATTCTACTCCCTAAGAGAACAAATCATTTGCTCACCTATTTTTCTCACGTAAGTTTACTCAGTCATTTAAATGTAAGTCCTAGAAGACTAGGATATAGGCATTTTAATAAGAATGACATTTTATTGGTTAATTCATGACAAGTTATCTTTGCACAAATAGGAGGGAACAAAAAAAAAAAAAAAAAAAAGGCCCAGCCACGGCTCCATAGGCTAATCCTCCGCCTGCGGTGCCGGCACACCGGGTTCTAGTCCTGGTCGGGGCACTGGATTCTGTCCCAGTTGCCCATCTTCCAGGCCAGCTCTCTGCTGTGGCCAGGGAGTGCAGTGGAGGATGGCCCAAGTACTTGGGCCCTGCACCCCATGGGAGACCAGGAGAAGCACCTGGCTCCTGGCTTCGGATCAGCGCGATGCACCGGCCACAGCACGCTGGAGGCAGCGGCTATTGGAGGGTGATCCAACGGAAAAGGAAGACCTTTCTCTCTGTCTGTCTCTCTCTCTCACTGTCCACTCTGCCTGTCAAAAAAAAAAAAAAAAAAATAGGAGGGAACATAAAACAGCTAAAGTCTTTGTAGTTCAAGATCACCTTGGTGGCTAGCCTGGACTTCTCAGATGCTACACCAGAAAAACATCACACTCTTTCTTATTTTTCCAGTTTTTAAGAAATCAAAGTGACAGATAAATGTACTTCCAAAATGATAGTTCAGTGACAATATAAAGCCAGTGAGATCAGCTACCCATTTTTAAGAATGACCCAGCTAGCAAATTAAATATGACGCTATCCATTTTCCTGAGAAATGGAGTAGAGGAATATATTTTGGAGTTTATCAAGAATGTAATAAAGTTGGTTGAAATTGCACAAGAATCCTGCTGAAAACTGATTAAAAACTACACTACAGGTATTTCTTATTCATAAAAGGAGAGTAACTTTAAAAGAAGTTGGGCTTTGATTCAAGAATTAATAAAATGATAATTATGCATCACCATCTTATTTTCTTTCTATTAAACCAAAGGATGTGGTCAAGAAAGCAACAAACGAAATTTGGATTATGACATAGCACGGTATGAACTTGTTGAGGGATTTCCATCCAGAAATGTTGAAGAGAAAATATGTGAATGCTTAAAAGGTTGTGCTCACTTTTCTGCAGAATTTATTATGGTCAGAGAACAATCCAATTTTTTAGAAAAGAAATGAAAGCCAGGTATTACAATATATGTAAAATAAAGTGGTACTTAACAGGCCCTTGCTCTTTAGCACCTACTCGTTACTAACACCCTAGGAAAGTGACTTAACTCTTTGTGACTTCACTTTAGAAAATTAATCTATGAGAACTTTTTGTCTCAGAACTAGGCCTGTCAAGTAAGAAGTTTTTAATAGTCACAAGACTTTGCTGCAGTGGTTAAAGTGCTGTTTGGAGGCCAGCGCCACAGCTCAATAGGCTAATCCTCCGCCTGCGGTGCCAGCACACCGGGTTCTAGTCCCGGTCGGGGCACCGGATTCTGTCCCAGTTGCCCCTCTTCCAGGCCAGCTCTCTGCTGCGGCCAGGGAGTGCAGTGGAGGATGGCCCAAGTCCTTGGGCCCTGCACCTGCGTGGGAGACCAGGGGAAGCACCTGGCTCCTGGCTTTGGATCAGCGTGGTACGCCGGCCGCAGCAGCCATTGGAGGGTGAACCAGCAGTAAAGGAAGACCTTTCTCTCTGTCTCTCTCTCTCTCTCACTGTCTAACTCTGCCTGTCAAAAAAAAAAAAAAAAAAAAAGTGCTGTTTGGGACAACTGTGTCACAAACTGGAATGCCAGTGTTCCAGTCCTATCTCTGCTGCTGATTCTAACATCCTGCTAACAAACACCTTGGAAGGCAGTATGTGATGTGTCAAGCAGTTGGATACCTGCTACTCATATGGAGACCTGGGTAGGGTTCTTAAGATCCCTGCATTGAGCTGGCCCAGCCCCAACTGTTCTTGCAAGTATTTGAGGAGAGAGCCAGAAGAAGGAAGATCTCTGTTTTCTTTCTCTTTCCTTCTCTCTCTCTCTCCCTCTTACCACTTTCTGCTTTTCAAATAAAATGAATAAAAATTTTTAAGTTACTAATAAATGTTACCTGTTATAATAATAATAATAATAGCAGCAGTTACTATTAAATATATCTTTAGTTGGGAATTCATTATCTACTTGTATAACTTTCACAACTATCTCTAGGAATGCTTCCAGGCATACAATTCCAATTCCACAGGTTACCACTTTGGATATAACTTTTACTCAGCTACTTAGAAAGATCATTAGGGAAACATTTGCAAGCATACCTATATATCCTAGAACCTCAGTTTCAGAACTCTGAATAGTGAACCCCATACTTATTTAAAAGAAAAATTTTCTCTTCTAAAAAGGAAGCAAACATTTCAAAATTGTTTCATAGCATCAGCTACCTTTCATTAATATTTAACTCAGTTTTACAACATGTGCCTAAGCTAGAGATACAAGTGATTGTGAAATGATGCTGTATCCTACCCTTATAGAGGGTTGTTGAAAAAATATGCAATAGGACAATGCATAGAAAAATCATATCTGATGGTATCACTTCCACAGTTATATAAGACCAGGAAAGATGGGGCCAGCGCCATGGCTCACTTGGTCAATCCTCCACCTGTGGTGCTGGCATCCCATACGGGTGCTGGGTTCTAGTCCTGGTTGCTCCTCTTCCAGTCTAACTCTCTGCTGTGGCCGGGGAGGGCAGTGGAGGATGGCCCAAGTGCTTGGGCCCCTGCACTCGCATGGGAGACCAGGAATAAGCACCTGGCTCCTGGCTTCAGATCGGTGCAGCTATTTGGGGAGTGAACCAATGGAAGGAAGACCTCTCTCTCTCTCTCTCTCTCTCTATAACTCTACCTGTCAAATAAAAAATAAAGGACCAGGAAAGAGAGAACAGTATAGAAGTCTTATGAATAGAGATTTGCTGCATAGATTTTGGAGTGAACCAGAGGATGAATTATGTCTTTGTCTGTCTCTCGCTCTTTCAAATAAATAAGTAAATAAATAAAAATTATAAGAATGTTTATTGACAAGAAAAGGAATTTATAAAACATTAAACTGAAAGGCATATTATAAAATACATAAACAATATAATCCTCAACTGATGATTTTATGAAATCATATGTGTTCATTTATAAAATACTTACATGTAAAAGTGTACAAATCTAAATGAAAATATTATCATTAATTATGTCTGGGTGGTAGGATTTATGGATCATTCTATTATTAGCATTTTCTAATTTTTCTTTATCTAATTTAAAAGACATGGAAATGCAATCTGATATTGCATTGATGAGCATCATAAGGTACAAAAATGCTGAAGAAAACACTAAAGGATGGGTGTGTCCAACAGGCTTCCCGACAGAAATGAGTATGAAAGTGCTCGAAAATCTGCAGAGGGCCTATGTAGTCACTTGGGTTGGAATACGGTCAACTATAAAGGGACTTTGGAATTATAAAAAGGTGGGAGATAGGTTGGTTTGAAGCAAGGAACTAAAAGGTACTTATAAAATCGAGGTAAGTAACTGAGACTGGCAGAGAGCTTTGGACAGAGAAAGAAAACACAGAGGTGACAAGGAAACTGAGTAAGTCCACTGAAACATCTCTGCCTATCTCTTCACTCAAACTGATAGGCATAAAGAGGGGTTGATGTATCTTTGTGGGTTCTATGCTGTGTTTTATTCTCTAGGCTGGAAAGATGAAAGCAATTCTTTAATTTATGTTGAGTCAGGTAGATGAATGAGGGATAATGAAACCATGAAAGGAATGAAATAGGAGATGAATGAAAAAGTCAATCAAGTGCTATAGTACAGGTAAAAGGCATTCCAAGGGAAAAATATAAAGAGCTAATGCTAAAAAGGGTGGCATAGGATGTTCCAATGTATGCAATTCCATGAACACTAATCAACACGGAGCAGGCAATCCCCACTGTGAGCATTTGATGGTAATGTGGTTGCCATAAGACTACCTGGCAAGGTAGAAACATGGTAGCAGTTGGTGTTGTAGATATATTTTAGTCATGGTGCCTCTTTCTGGTAAAAAAAAAAAAAATTGGGAAAATCAGTAACTTTCACTAGGCTAGCAGTTTTATTTGTGAAAGGCTGTATTAGTACATGCTTCCATGGAAACGATTCAGTATTATGTTTTATATATGCTGTCAGGTATTCTTAAAGATGGCTGTTATCTTCACTCTGTTAAAAGTACAAGATGAGGAGAAAGGAATCATATAAAATAATTTTCCCAATTTTTATTTTAAATTATCTAATTTCTTATTAGGTGAAGTATGAAGCCATTTTATTGTAATGCAAATTTCAAATATGTTGTCTCAAAACTAAAAGGAAAAAAAGAACAGGAAAAGGAAGAGGGGTGGAAAAGAGAGGGGGAGGGAGGGAGGAAGGGAATATCATTATGTTCTTAGAATTGTATATACAAAGCACATTGAATCTATTAAAAAACTAATTAGAATTTAAATTAAAAAATTTTAAAAGAAATTACCTAATTGGAAATCAAAGTGATCAACTTTTCTCCTTTTGCTATCATTTTGCCCTTTGGTTCTCACAAGATTTCCTACATTTTATGCATTTCTTGTGTTTAAAAATAACTACAAGTGTTCTAACTTTTAGAAAAAGGACAACTGGTGGTAAATTCCTCACCAACTGCCAAGAAAAAGAAATATGATAAATCAATAGGTGGCATCTATGAAATGAGTCTAGTTCTGTTTTCCCTTTTCCTGTTATCATTCGTAGGATCATTGTCTTCACCTGGATAATCAGTTATTCTCCCCAAGCATTTTAGCTGTTTACAATTTTGGTCATTTTGGTATAAATCGAGCAGCATTTGTTTCAAAGCAGAACTTCATCCTATAAAAATGCAACAGAGACAAGCTGTATCTTTATAAAGAAAGCCATTAATAATCTTATACTGTAAATGAAACTTACAGACTTCAGTCCAGAAACTAAATAACATATATAAAATGAGAAACTATTGAAAAATAAGTTAGAAGTCTTGTGTTATTCATAAAGTTTCTCAGAGAGACTAAAAAATTACAAGGATTAACAGTAAAGGAAATCATGAGATCACACATTTGTAGAAATATGGGACAATATATAGTTTAATAAATAGATGATTTAAAAATACAGTATAAGTCTGTACTTCTTTAACACTCAAGAAAATTCTTACTCTGGATACTCTACCCTGAACTCCCATCTCCTAACTTCTTGTTCTCGGCACTAACATTTTGAAATGCAATTCCTTTTTGAAAACTTTTTATAGGACTAGATTCTCTGCTTACAATAAGATAGAACAATTTGGGTTCCAGAAATAAGATAATAGTTATATTTTATCAAGCTCTTGTCATGATCCAGGTAGTGTTCCAACCACTTCACAATAAGATCAATTGATTTTTACAGTAACCCCTAAATAGGGCATCAGCCATCATTTTACAATTGATTCTTAGGAACAAAGAGGGATTTAGTTAAGTTGGTCAAGGTCCCAGAGTTAGTGACTTACCAAACTGGGGATCAGAAAAAAGTCTGACCAATATGTGACCAAAGAAAATAGATTCACAAGATGTATAGTCTCATCCTCTGAACAACTGTTTCAGAGTTTATAAGGAGTCACTCCACGATTCACAGACAACAGAATTGGAATTTGTTGTATAAAATGAACTGTTTGGGATTAAAACATGTTTCCATTTGAAATAGTAATCCCTTTGTAGTAAGATATTTCAGAAATGCATTTTTTCACTTTCCTATGAGCTTGCAAACTTTTTTTCAGTTGCATCTAGCAACTGAGAAGCTTAGGGTAAGGTTTTTGAGTGTTCACTCAGGAATCTGTTCTCTCACTGTGAAATGGGGATATTATTAGTAACTGACTAATGGGGTTCTGTAAACAGTAAAAGAGAGACTGAATCACATGCACTTAACACAGCAGTGACAACAGAGTCAACCCCTGCAGTTATAAGGCACAATTCTTGGAACTTTGTGTGGAATAATGTTTTAATATTCAAAGTGACCCTACAGGGGCTGGCACTGTAGCACAGTGGGTTAAAGCCCCGGCCTGCAGTGCTGGTGTCCCATATGGGAGATGGTTCGAGACCTGGCTGCTTTACTTCTGATGCAGTTCCCTGCTAATGTGCCTGGGAAAACAGCATAAGATGGCTCAAGTCCCTGGGCCCCTGCACCCATGTGGGAGACCTGAAAAAACTCCTGGCTCCTGCTGTAGATTGGCCCAGCTCCAGCCATTATGGCCATATTGGGAATGGGCCAGCAGATGGAAGACCTCCCTCTCTTTCACCCCTCCCCTTACCCTTCCTCCCTCCCTCGCTCTCTGTAACCCTGCCTTTCAAATAAATAAAAATAAATCTTTAAAAAGGCTGGTGCTGTGGCTCACTTGGTTAATCCTCTGCCTGCGGCCCTGGCATCCAATATGAGTGCCGGGTTCTAGCCCTGGTTGTTCCTCTTCCAGTCCAGCTCTCTGCTGTGGCCTGGGAAGGCAGTAGAGGATAACTTAAGTGCTTGGGTCCCTGCACCAGAATGGGAGACCAGAAGGAAGCACCTGGCTCCTGGCTTCGGATTGGCATAGTTCCAGCCGTGGTGGCCATTTGGGGGGCAAACCAATAGAAGGAGGACTTTCTCTCTCTCTCTCTCTCTCTCTCTCTCACTGTCTAGCTCTATATGTCAAATAAAAATCTTTAAAAAAAAAAAAGTGACCCTGAAATGAAGATTCATGGATTAGGTCCATTTTACAGACCAAAAATAAAGGCAAAGCAAGGTTAACAAACATGTCTAAGATGCAGAGCTGGTAATCAGACCAGATTCCAACTGAAGATCATACTCCTAAACATGACCTTACACAGACTCTACCTTGCTACAGTAAGTGTTTTTAGATGTCAGCTCTCTAGGCAGTTTACCTGAGGCCTGCTGAGGAGAGGCCTTATGAATGTAATTACTGAATGACTAAGAAGTCAATCTGGTTTATAAAGTCCTCTCCACAACATCAGAAGACAGGAGTTTTGTTGTGGAAGCAGTCAATATCCCCTCTCACCAAGGCTGCCTGGGGGACAAGCTCTGCGAGTCGTACAGAGTGGAGCCATATAGTTGGAGTGGAGAATCCTGAACAATGATTCCATTTCCAGGTCTGAGCTCTTTTGCAAAGATTCTGCATAATCTTGATTGGGTCATTTAACTTGACTCAGCTTCAGTTTCTCCTCTGTACACCAAGGGTAACATGATAGGATAAAATTGAAAGAATCATTCCTACGCTGATTTCAGGATTCTATAAATGCATGGTCTGAATAAGTGTGTCCCTATTAAAATACCAGTGATATAATGCACTAATAGGTTATTCATATTATGCATACTTCCTATAAGGATGAAGGCAGTCATTACATCTACTTTCTTGATATACATGAATTACAAGAAAATGGTTTGGGGAAAAGATCTAAAAAAAGAGAATCTGAGGATATTAAAGACATTTTTTTAAAGAGTCAGGATTTTTTTTTTAAAAATTAATAGTGATTATTCCCCATATCTAGTTGTGCTGGTTTATTTGAAATAAATAAATTGTGGCTTGAAATGCTTTAAGCTTCCTGGAGAACAGAAATGAATGAGAACATGAGCATTTTTCTTAAAGAAAAGAAAACAAACATAAGTGGTCGACAAATTACCTACTTATCCAATTACTGATAAATAAATTTTGGTCATGGATGACTTTCCTTGGCATTCAGTTGTATTATTGGCCCGTTATAGTTTTCTGTTTACTGTTCTAACAAATTACCATAAATTTAAAGCCTTAAAACAGTACAATTTTTTTTTCCTAACTAACACTTCTGTAGCTAAAAAATACAACATCAAATTCACTAAACCCAAAACACTGGCAGAGCTCTGCTGCTTTATGGGGCTCTTTTCTCCCTGCTTTACCCAGAGGCTACCCATACTTCTTGTCTCACGACTCTTTCATTTTCAAAGTCTGCAGCATAGACAGCCTCTCCTTGAGCCTACTTACACCATCATTTCTCTTTCTCTGATTCTTTTAAGCTGTCTTCCTCTTCCATTTTTTTAAGACCCCTGTGTTTACATCAGGCCCACCAAATAATCTGGGACAGCCTTCCTATTTCATGGTCAGATAACCAGCAGCATTAAATTCATCTGCAACCTTAATTATCTTTTGCTCTATAGTATAACATATTCATGAGTTCCTCGATTAAGACACAGACATTGGGGGTCATGAGATGGCAGTATAACAACAGGATGATCTGAGTCAATTGGGGCAAAATAGATAGTTAAAAAGGAGAGACGATACATGCCAGAGATAGAGCCATGGGAAATTCAGTTCAGGAAGCTCAGGAGGCCAACACAGACTGGGTAGGTCCACACTGAAAGGGCAAATAAGTAAGGGAAGCAGTGGAGGCACAGCAGAGGTACAGATCCGGGTGGTTGGCACCAGACCCCAGTGTACCAGGTTAGACAGGAAATTGTGGGTCCACAGTGCTGCAGATAGCAGCAGGAGGGAGAACGTGGAGAACTGCTTTTGAAGTTCAATGTAGGAAAAAAGGGAAGATATAAAAAGCAACCAGGGAAGTCAGGCACTCACGTGCCGATCTCCAACCCCCTCTCACCCCTCACCCCCCAACCCTGGACCTCCAGTTGGCTGAGAGAACCCATCTCGTCTGTTTACATTTTCAAGTGTTAGCAGGGGACTGCCACCTTAGTCTCCCGAGAACATGCCCCTCAATTGCAGGAACCATCTCACCACACCCCCATCCAGGAAGTAGGACCACAACATTTGAGAAGAATTTCTTCCCCACCACACAAGCTGTAGGACAAGGAGAAGTCATAAATATCAAAAATTTTGAGCCTGCTCCACCCACCACTGAGAAGTGAGCTGGGTCCTAGTAGCTAAGGCTACATGCACTGAACCTTGTACCTGCCTCCACCATGATTGAGAAGCGAGCAGAGCTCCAGTAGGTGGTGCTCTGTGCTTCTACTTGCAACAAACACAAAGCAGCTCATAACAGAGGGAAAACTCACAAGAAAATCTCCACACACACACAAAAAGAAAAAATACACAAACGCTGAAAAACAAAAGAAAAACCCTAAATAGGAATAAGCAAGACACTACAACTCTTCAATAGAAGAAGGTGAAGATCAAGAGATCAAGGACGCGCCAGAAATGGGATTCAGAAAAATTAATAGATTACTTAGAAGCAATCAGAAGCTAATTCATGATCTAAATGAAAAGTGCTCCCAATAAATTGAGATATTAAAGAGAAGTCAGAATGAAATACTAGAAATGAAGAATTCAACAGATCAAATAAAAAACATACTAGAAAGCCTTAACAACAGAATAGGTGAGACAGAAGAAAGAATGTCAAACCAGAAGAAAAATTTCTGGAAATATTACAGTCAGACTGAAAGAAGGAAGAAAAAATTAGAAAACTAAAAAATATGCTTGGAAATCAACAAGATACTATCAAGCAACCCAACGTGCGGATCATAGGAGTTCCAGAAGGTGTGGGAAAAGAGGAAGGATTAGAAGGCCTTCTTAATGAAATAATAACAGAAACCTTCCCCAATCTGGAGAAAGAAAGAGACTTCCAAGTCCAAGAAATACACAGAACTCCCAATAGACACAAACATCCAAGATGTTCACAACACACTTCAGTAAAGTTCCCCATAGTAAAATATAAAGAAAAGATATTAAAATGTGCATGAAACAAATCACATTCAGAGGAAACCCAATTAAACTTACTCTGGACTTCTCATCAGAAACCCCACAGGCAAGAAGAGAATGGCAAGATATATTCCAAGTCTTAAGAGGAAAAAAAAACTGTCAACCCAGAATACTGTACCCTGCAAAGCTCTCATTTATGAATGAAGGAGAAATAAAGATCTCCCGTAACAAATAGAAATTGAAAGAATTTGTTACTACTTGCTTAGCCCTACAAAAGATATTAAAGGATCTGTTACACACAGAAAGACATGTGACATATCACATGAACAAACTGAAGAAAAAAATATATGATCATCTCAATAGATGCAGAGAGGCATTTGATAAAACACAACACCCTTTCATGATGAAAACTCTAAGCAAATTGGGTATGGTAGGAACATTCCTCAACACAATCAAGGCAATTTATGACAAACCCACAGCCAGCATCCGATTGAATGGTGAAAAATTGGAAGCATTCCCACTGAGATCCAGAATCTGACAAGGATGCCCATTCTTACCATTGCTATTCAATATAGTCCTGTAAGTTTTAGCAGGAGCCATTAGGCAAGAAAGAGAAATCAAAGGGATTCAAATCAGGAAAGAGGAAGCCAAACTATCCCTATTTGCAGATGACATGATTCTACACATAGGGGATCCAAAGACTCCACCAAAAGACTACTGGAACTCATAGAAGAGTTTCATAAAGTAGCAGAACATAAAATCAATACACAAAAATCAACAAGCTTTGTATACACAGACAATGTCATGGCTGAGAAAGAACTTCTAAGATAGATCCCATTCACCATAGCTACTGAAAATTCAAATGCCCTGAAATCAATTTAACCAAAGAAGTCAAAGATCTCTACAATGAGAATTATAAAACATTAAAGAAATAGAAGATAGAAAAAAATGAAAAAAGTTTCCACGTTCATGGATTAGAAGAATCAATATCATCAAAATGTCCATTCTTTCAAGAGCAATTTACAGGCAATACCAATCAAAATACCAAAGGCATTCTTCTCAGATCTAAAAAAAAAATGATTCTGGAAATTTACCCAAGGGAAATGAAATCAGCAAATAAAAGAGTTATCTGTACCCCCTTGTTTACTGCAGCTCAAATCACAATAGCTAAGACATGGAATCAATCTACATGCCTATCAACTGAAGACTGGATAAAGAAATAATGGGATATGTACTCTATGTAATACTACACAGCAGTAAAAATAAAATGCAATCTGGTCATTTGCCACAAAAGGGATGAATCTAGAAAACATTATACCTAGTGAAATAAGCCAGTCCGAAAGGGACAAATACCATATGTTCTCCCTATCTGTGATAATTAACAGAATACCTAAAAGGAAACCTGTCAAAGTGAAACTGACACTTTGAGAAGCAATGACTTGAACAGCCTTGGTTTTGAGTGTTGAGGGCAAGTTTTGCTTCTTTTCCTTCTTAATACCATTGGTTGAACTCTTTACCTAACATAGAATTAATCATAAGTATGTAAAGTCAATGGAAAATAGATCCAGGGGCCAGTGCTGTGGTGTAGCAGTTTAAGCCACTACCAGCAGTTTCAGCATCCCAAATGGACACCAGTTCGAAACCCAGCTGCTCCACTTCTGATCAGTTCTCCGTTATGGCCTGGGAAAGCAGTGGAAGATGGCCCAAGTCCTTGGATCATTGCACCCAAGTTGGAGACCCTGAGGAAGCTCCTGGCTCCTGGCTTCAGATCAGTGCAGCTCCAGCCATTCAGCCATCTGAGGAGTGAACAAGAAGATGGAAGACCCTCTCTCTCTCTGTCTCTCTGCTTCTGCCTCACTGTAATTCTGTCTTTCAAGTAAAATAAAATAAATCTTTTTAAAAAAAACAAAAACAAAAACAAAATATATCCCAGTAAAAAATAAGAGTGGGAATAAGAGAGGGAGGAGGTAGTTTGTAACAGAAAAGCTGTATCGTTCTGCATACATTCCTACAGACTTACTTCTAAGAGCAAAGCTAAAAGCTAGCCATGGGACTCTAAATCCCATTAAGCTTGGTGGTAATAATGCCACTTTAAGTGTTAAAGTGATCATATTAAGTTTTAAATTGGTCATATAGGTAGAGTTAAGTGTTAAAGGGATCATATAAATAAAATCAAGTCTGGGCCAGTGCTGTGGCTCACTAGGCTAATCCTCTGCCTGTGGTGCCAGTACTCCAGGTTCTAGTCCCGGCTGGGGTGCCAGTTCTGTCAGGGTTGCTCCTCTTCCAGTCCAGCTCTCTGCTGTGGCCCAGGAGGGCAGTGGAGGATGGCCCAAGTGCTTGGGCCCTTGCACCTGCGTGGGAGACCAGGAATAAGCACCTGGCTCCTGGCTTTGGATCAGTACAGTGCACCAGCCATGGCAGCCATTTGGGGGGTGAACCAATGGAAGGAAGACCTTTCTCTCTCTCTCTCTCTCTCTCATTGTCTAACTCTGCCTGTCAAATAAATAAATAAATAAATAAAGTCTGGTAATAACAACAGATAGAATTAAAAAGGAGAAAATGTTCCAGCATGCAAAGCAGTTCACACAGCAAACTTATACAATGACAATTGCTCTAAATAGCACTCTGACCTCATAATCAGCCCTTAAGACATTCTAGTCTGGCTGAAAAACTCATGAGAGCATTTTTAGGCATGAAAATTCAAGATACTGTGGCAAAAATATTGTCCTACATGAAGTATCTCTGTGAGTGAGACCCCAGTGGAAAGAAAGGGCCATCAAAGAAGGATGTACTTTTCTCTGAAGGGAGGAGAGAATTTCCACTTTGCTTATGGCCTTGACTAAATTCTGATGGAAATTGTGGACTCAAAAAATTGCATAGCCTAGACAGCTCATGTCAAGGGCCTCAGGAGGTTACTGATTGTCATACATAAGAGTGTCCATTATTAAATTAACAAGAGTATTCACTGTGCACTTACTCCCCATACAGGAACTCTGACCTTATAGAGCTGTACTATGAGAATTAATTGTAAATCTTATTCTCATTTTTTATATTGTGTGTGTGTGTGTATGTGCAAATCATTGAAATCATTACTTAGTTTGGAGTTGGTCTTCTGTATATAAAGTTAATTGAAAATGAAAAAAAGGCATAAACATGTTGAGGGGGGCATTATTCTGCCTATCATGGATTCTTCCCTCTTTCTGTGACCTTCAGATAGATATAACTTAGGGAACACACGCACATGCTGGAAGAATTGAAAAATAAATGTATTCCCATCTTCGTGTTTCTTCACTTCCTTTAAATCACAGGATATATAGGATTCTAAAATCAAATGGGAATCAAGTTTACATTAGTTCTAACTGCCTATTGGCTTGCTCACTGGCTCTCTTCCATTTGCAGACATCTGACAAGATGTTCTTTCATTTCTTTTCCCAATAAATGAATCACTTTGGTATGTTTTGTAACTCTTAGGACATAATGATGTCGTCCAATCCAACATCCTACCCTGGATGGAGTGAAACCATATGCACTCCTTACCCACCAAGCAGCTGTACAGTTCCTGGTTCTCCACAACCTCAAGGTTTAATTAACCTAGGTAACCAAACTCAGGGAGGTCAGCTTCCATTCATCACAGCTCCTGGAATCTTGGCTACCCATCAGCTGGGTCAAGAAAATATGCAGGTGATAAACTCAGCCATAGGAAAATATGCAATAAAGTTTAAAGAAGAAGCAAAGGCTCTAGGGGTAAGTATATTTTAATGGGATTTTAATTTTGAATTTTCAAGGTTTTCTTGTATCTATAAAAATAATATGTAGAGAGAATATCCTCAAATTATTTTAAAAAATTCTGAACATTATTTTGAAAAGTGCATTCCTTTCAGAAAGAAATAATTAGTCTGGATAAAGACTTTATCCTGATAAAGTTCATTTATTTTAGATTCATGCAAGAATGTAACAGGTGACACAGGACTCTCCCTAGCAGGAAGATTAGCAATAATGACATGACAGAGAAGTGTCACCACTTCTAGCTTTATCTCCCTTCTACAAAGAACTTTTCAGATAATCTCAACCCTCTCTCTGGATTGCGTACAAACTCGGTATTTGAATACAGATGTACTTATAGTAAACTAAACATCAATGGCTACCTAAAAAGGGAAGAAACTCTAAATGGGATGCTTGAGGAAGGCCGACTGAACAAATGTGCTGCTCTCAACAGCACCCTTGGAAATGCTTATGACAACTGTCGCTTTACTCCTACAAGGAGTGCTTTGAACTAAATGCCCACAATCTTGTTTCCATAGGGATTGTAAAACATGATCTACTTGGTGAAAATTCACCTTGTATAGGTGGAATTATTAGTACTTTCCATTAACACAGTTCACAACACAATTCCACCAAATTTTGTCTCTCCCTGTGTGAAATTCCAACATCTTTGTTAAAACATGCAACAGATGAGTTTCCATTGTGCTCCCCAAATTCTCTAGCCATCTTACTATCTATTTCAACTCTTAAGGGTTTAGGAAAGTAAAAATGAGCATTAGTACCCTTCCAATAGCCAATCTAAGCCACGGAGGTGGTTCCTCAGCTCTTCCTCCAGCAGACAGAAGAAAATCTCTTCTACGAGCAAAGGGACAAATTGGCTTTACAAACACAGGTGTTTGTAATATTATAGAACAGAAAACAGTCAGAACTGCAGGAGGTAACAACCTAGTGGGGGAAATCAGGTTATGCTCATAATAAAATACACAGTGCCATACAAGGTGATAAGTGATAGGAAGAGAACAACAAAGTGTCAGAGATAAGAAGTACAAGGCAATGAGTGGGTAGCAATTTCAAGTTGGTCAGTATGAGCTTTCCTTACCATGTGACAGTTGAGAAAAGACATTAAGAGTAAGCCATGCCAATCAGAATGAGAGAGAACCACTATTGTGAAGGTCTCTAGATGACAATGTTGTGATGTACTGAAAGAACAGGAAGAGATCAATAAAGTACAGCAGAATAAGCAAGGAATACAATAATTGAAAGGAGGGCAGAGAAGTGGTAGGGGTCAGATCCTACGTGGAGAACAGATAGCTTTGGCTCTTATTGAGTAGAATGAAGAACTGGGCTGTATGAATGGCTAAAAGAGAATTATTATACTTCTAAAACAAAAGTGAGATGTGTATTTTTGAATGTACAACAATAATTTTACAGAGAAAAAGATTCAAGGCTTTTCTTAGTCTCAAAGAGTTTCATTATTAAAAAAATTAATCTCCCAGAATTAGGGTTTTTTTCAAATTTTAATTCAATTTAAATATATGTAGTGACTATATACTGAAGAAATAAACAGTTTTTGAAATCTTTCTGGGGAGATAAACTTGGGAAGAAATGAAATATAAATCTATAATTGACTTTTGAGCCAATCTAGCAGCTGCTATATATTTCCTAGAACTTTATGTTTATCCAGGATGAAGGAAGGTACAATAACAGTTACAAAGAAGTAAAAGTGTAACCTTCATCTCTGAAAATGCCTCACTTGGCAGGAAAAAAAAGATTGCATACCAGCAGTTTTTTTTTTTTTTTAAAAAAGAACAATACAAATGAGTAAAAAAATCAAATTTCATCACTCTAAGATGCAACCAAAAATCAGAAAGAGAAAAAAAAGATTGATTTGTCGTAATCTAGTTGATTTCAGGGAAGGGGTGGAGCTGAGCTAAGCTGAGCACAAGGGGCCCAGTACTGAATAGTTATGACATGAACTCGTGAGTTAATTTGTAGTAGTCAACTCCCAGGTCTGCCCCTCAGTAATCACAGGACAGACAAGCAATTCTGTTCTGCTTTTGTCTCCACCCAGTTGCTGGAAGGATCACATGCAACAAAAAATGTAAAGTGTTTAGAACATTAACATCCACTAAATTATTTTATCTTCCCTGATTTCTTTACCAGGTTACTCAGGCAAAGAAGTGATCCATTTGAAGAAGACAGCCACTGAAATCACAGTAAAAGAATTTTTTCCTAAGAGTTTTCTATAAACTCTCAGGGGTGACTCACGCATGCTTAAGAAGCTCATTTTCTGAAGAATTCTCCTGGAGCCCTCCCAGCCAAATCCCTCCAAATACTTCTAATAGGGCCTTACATGGAGGCCCTTGTCCCTTGGTTGTCCTAGTGTATGTTAAAATCCTCATGGCCCGCTCCCTGCTTTAGATGTTCATGGTTGCAGGCAAAGCTAACAATAAATAAGCAAGAGTAGCAACAACAGTAATGTTTCACAGCTCTGATAATGAAGAAGCAATTTTTAAAATTCTCGTTTTCTTTTTCCAGGCAATCCAGGTCGTGATTGGAATTATGCACATTGGTTTTGGGATCATTCTGGGTTTACTGAGTTACTCTACTGACAACTATTTGGGTTTTGCCTCTACTGCTTTCCTTGGTGGTTACCCATTCTGGGGTGGACTCTGTGTGAGTAGATTGTTTAAACACCTGTCCTTCTCAGTTTACAAATTATAGATATCTCCGATCTATCCAAAGCCCATTTGTTGAGAAGCTCTGCTTCTGAGGACTGGGAAGTTCAGAGAAATAACAGGTTGGATTGAGCATAAAGAGGAACAACTTTTTCTCTCCATTGTTAACTTGGAGGGTAACCTCATGTTAGTGGCAGTAACCCAACTATTTGCATAGAAAGAACTCATTCTAGTGTATGCTTTCTTTATTTTGATGATTCCAAAGCTTACAGTGAAGGTTGTTAAGCTTTAAAAGTTCACTATGATCAAGTAATCACCAAGTCAAAGTTTTATTTCCTCATTATATTTTAGACAGAAGTATATGTGTTAGGAGGAAAGCAGCTAAAGATGGTGACTGGAAACATGACTAAAAACACGTAGAAGTTGACATTTGGCCTAGTAGTCAAGATGCCAGTTAAGATGTCTGCATCCCATACTGGAGTGATCCAGGTCCAGTTCCTGCCATAGCTTCTGACTAGCTTCCTGTGAATGCAGACTCTGGGAGGTAGCAGTGACAACGTAAGTAGTTAAGTCCCTGCAACCTGAGAGACCTGGATTGGTTTCCCAGCTCCTGGCATTGGTCTGGCCCAGCCCTAGCTGTTATAGACATTTGAGGAGTGAATCAGTAGATGGGGTCATGCACACACATACACACACACACACAGCTTCTCAAAAAAAATTTGAAAAATTTTAAATATATGCAGTCAATAATTAGAAGATATTAAGCAGGAAGCTCAAGAATTATCAAAACAAGGAAATCTTTAAATGCAAGAAACTAAGGAGGGTAGGTGTGAAAGGACTTCAAGAACTCCCTCAGAATTACTCTACATAACTAAGAAATATAAGAGGAAACAGAAAGATACCATAAATAGACAAAACTTCCTTTAAAGAGAACAGAACCCATCATTTCAAAAATAATTTTGTCTTATTTCTACAGTTCATTATTTCTGGCTCTCTGGCCATATCAGCATCCAAGGAGTTTTCCCCTTGTCTGGTATGTTAAAGTGTCTCTACTTATCTAACCTGTTTAAATATTATTTTAATTTGCTTGGGGGAGGGGAGTGTATATTGAAAAGGTAGATTTAAAATGCAAATTGGAGCACCTTCCCCAAAATCTCTGTGCTTGCTTCCCTGTTATGTATGCTGGGGTAGGGGAGCAGTCCACCAAATTAGACACTCAGAATAGACCACACCCCACATCTTGACTCAAACAAAAGTGGGAAATAGTAAAAGTAAGGGTTGTTTAAACTTTAAGCAGTAGGCTCCCTGGTTCAGTCAGGTCACATGGCATCTGGGGAAACTCAATGAAGAATCCAGGAACCAGGAAACACTTTTGTAACTGCAGTTACAAAGTCTCCTGTGTTCATTTGCCACTTCTCAGCTCTGCCCTGTATTTTTACGTGTGTAAGTGTGTGTGTGTGTATCTCTTGTTCTTATTCAGGTTGGATTTTTGTTTTACATAATTCTTCAAGTCCCTTTTAAAAGCACCTAGCTTGGAACATTAGAGGAGCTTATAAAAATAATCACTGAGATGGGGCTTTCAATTCTGTCAGTCACAGCACTGTACCCATTGCAGTTTCCTGGTCTACTTAGGAGCCAAAAGAAAGAAAACAATTTTCCAAGAACTGAAGCCAACTAGAGCAGGGGTGGTTTCAAGATTCTATGTATTATCACACAAGATGAAAGAAAGGGAAAATCGAAACATGGGATCACATTGCTCTTCTAAAGAAAACAAAAACAGTAAAGTTAAATTGAAAGCAGCCTGATCCTGATTAACCACCCCACTGTAATCCAAAGACAAAAATAAATCTCCTTCCTCGGCCTCCTTTAGGGGGTCTTCCCTCTAACTGAAATTGTATAAGTATGGACCATGTCCTTTTGGAGAAGAAAACCACAGGATCTTTTCTGTGGCAATTTTTCTAACAACCTTAACATTCTAAAATATTCTAACTGTGCCACTCCTAGCAAGTCAGTTGTGAGCTGTGTCTCACAATTATTCTGCTGTATGTCATAACATTATTGTAGACACTATGGAAAGTTTTATACTCTGCTAATGCACCTGTACCTAGAAAGCCTACAGCTTTTATTTCTAAATTTGGGATTCTTTACCTAGTTCCTAGAGAGACTTCAGGGTTTTTGTTAATTCCTACATTCATCAACAAAATTTTTTGTGTACATATTTCTCCATCTATAAAATCACAGCTGATTTTATACCATACTATAAGAGTTAAATGAGACAATTTATGCAATAATTTAGAATACTGTCTTATACAGAAAAAATGATCATTAAAAGTTTATTTGTTCTTTTGTTTTATTTCAAAAGATAGTTGTTACCACGCATGAGACTCTGGGATAATCATAATTGATGAGTTTCTACTTTATATTATTACATTTTCTGACATCTTTTTAGTAGTGCCCTACATTTCAGCTACACATGGAGTGATTTTCATGGAAATACAAAAGCAGATACTCAGTATATCATGGAAATACTCAGAAAAAGTTCAAAACCCATTTCCAGATTTCAAAGATTAAGATTTATCATGTTTGATTTATCTTTATTTAATTTTCTTTGTCCTCTATGTAACTTATTTTTCCTGTTGTCTCCATTAGCTGAAAAGCAGCCTGGGAATGAATATTGTTAGTTCTATCTTTGCCATCATTGGAGTGATTCTGCTGCTAGTGGACATGAGCATCAATGGTATATATCTACAAAATTATGGGTCAGTGGTAAGTATCCCCTAGTCTACTAGATACCTGCTCTCGTTCACTCCCATTGAGGTCCGATTTACCTTGCATTACTGTATAGAAACCACAGTGGGGATTAAAAAAAAAAAAGCCTCTTTCTATTCCACTCCTACTTCTAGTCATGTGATCTCCAGAACTACACAATAAAGTGGGAAAGTTATGTCTACGGATGGACTAAGGCAGAAAGTACATCCCTTATTAGTCTATTTCCCTGTTAACCACATGAACAGTGGGGAAGGGTTTGAACATGAAGTAAGACTCCTAAAAGTACCCAGAATTTATCTTCCCATAAGTTGAATTCCAAAAAAGAAGATAAATTATTCAGTGGTTTTAAAAAGTGAGAATGGGTATAAGGAAAATGGAAGTGACAAGGACATCTGATTCTACTGGAGAAATTCAAAAGAATTAAACAACTGAAAAAAGTGGCTCATGCCTCTGAATGTGATAGAAATAGAATCATCCATTTATGATCATGGTGGAAAGCCAAAAATGGATTCTTATCTCAGAAGGAAATGGGTGGTCTCTGGACCAGCATGTTTAAGGAATGGAGGAACACAGTTCAGAGTGAGGCTGGGCTAGAGTTGCCATCTTGCCTTGACACCATGGTAAGGACTTTTGTCTTCATTCTCAGAAAAATGGAAAGTCACATAAGAGGATTTTAGTGGATTTGTTTTTCAGTTTTTCATTTTTTTCCATTTACAAACTGCAGCACTTATTAAATTGCTGTGTCAAGTAACCACAATAACACTTCCCTTGCCAGTTCATTCAGCCCTATTGAGTAGTCTATTGCCCTGGGTATTGGTATGTCTTTTAAAGTCTTAAAAAGTCAGGCTTCTCAACTAAAGCGTTCTGGAGTCATCACTCCAGCCACCAGTATGATCTGAAAGCTGTCTAAGCAATGCTAGCTAAGTCTCTGCAATGCTACCTGAGAATGCGTTCTTTGAAGTATGAATAGCCTGATGTGGTGGGCACAGGCCTTTTCCTCTGGGAAACTCTGAGATTATCCTTGCTTGTTAAGACAAATAAGAGAAGTGCAATGATCACTGTGTGGTTTTGAAAGGACTACTCTTTTTTGCCTTGTAGAGAAAACTTATAAGTAGGCAATAACAGATGAGGAGATGTCTAAGTCCATTTTCTCTGCTATATATGCACACCTGAGGCTGAGGACTTTACTTAAAAGGAAGTTTGTGTAGCTCACAATTTTGGAGTTTTAATAGCACATTGCCTCTGGCAATGTCTTCTAGCAGGGACTTATGTCAGATAGTATCATATAATGGGACCATGTACAAGAGAAGGGGATAAGGGGAAGAGGATGACGGGAGGGAGGGAAGGAGGGAAGGAAGGAGAAAGAGTAATCTGGTGTCACTCACATGACAAGAGGGGAAGTAAGAAACTGAGAAGAGGCCATGCTCATTCTAACAACCTGCTCTCGTGGGAACTACTTTAATCCTGGGAGACCTACCCCACTCTTTGAGACCAGCATTAATCCCTGCACAAGCATGGTCATGAACTCATCACCTATCATGAGGCCACACTTCTTATAGGTCCCATTTTTCTTCAACACCAGTACATTGGGAACCAAGTTTCTAGTGCATGAATCTTTGGGGAACAAACCACATCCAAGCCACAGCAGTGACCTCTTTGTGAGTAAGATGGATTGAAGCAAGAACACAAAGTTCCTCTTCTGCAATGTCAAATGAAAAGAACAAAATGACTCAATCAGTAGTTTATGAACTGGCATCCAAGTAAAGAAACAGACAATTCTGGTGTGATTCGGTGTGACAGAAAAAAAGCACAGCTCTAAGCCCTGGCTATACACCACAGAAATAGAACTTAGGGCAGAGGGAAGCAAAAAAAAAAAAAAATACTGAGAAATCCTACTAACGTTCTCCAATCTGGCATTAATACTGAGGTGGGAACCAATGTCCTAAGAAAGATAAAGCAAATGCTACAGGGTAGAAGCTCTTACATAGCAAAGACCTCAAGAGAAGTAGGAATTGATCCCAGAGTTAACCTTCCAGTGTACTTTGCTGATATGGAGAACTGAACAAAAATCCACAGCGACAAAATATTCCTGTGGCCACAGAGCAAGCTTCCATACCAGGCAGTTACAAGACTCTCAGAAACAGAGAAAGCATAGTTTATGTTCCCTACCAAGAACTGTGCTCAGCACCAGCAAAAAGATCTTTCTCTATCTAACAAGTATACAATTAACATTCATAAAATTTACATAAAAATATTTAGTCCTCAAATCATAGACTGAAGGAAGACAAATGAGACCCGGATAATGTCAGTCAAGGAAATTCACATGCATTGTATCTGAACGTATCAAAAGACTGTACAGAGTTGCTCCACTTTAGAATAAGAAGTTGAGAATCCATGCAGGGGAACTAATAAAATACACTAGAATGACTAAAAGAAGAGAAGAAAGAAAAAAGGACAGGGGGGAGAAGACCTAAGATTCCTGCAGGTTAGTGGGTTGGCAGGAACATCCAAAGACCATTACTCATTTTGAGCAAAGGCACAACCCAACTAATTAGGACACAAGACACATTGGGTAATAAAATGGATCTAACATATGTACTTTCTTCATCAAAGTGTGCACTTGTTTGATTGAGTTCGTGAGTTACATAAATCAGAAACACACAGATTCTTCTTACTTACATGGTTTAAACTTTTGCTAACCTGAGAAGCCATATCTCCAAGTTTGGGATCAAATTCCTGCTCCATGGGCCAATGAAACCACTCTGAGGTTACAACATGACCAAAGTTTAGCATCTTGGTTTCCAGGTACTGTTATTAGGTTTTTCAATTGAATACAGAAACTTTTAAACCACAAAGAGTAATTTCCATGACAAGTATCAAGACACACCCTAGCACATTTGACATTTTTAATGACTCGGTAACATTTTTATAAAAACAAGGAGGCCATTACAAAGACAAAAATCAACTTCTTTCCAATCGACTTCTTTCCAATACTCTGAATGAAATATTCTACTTGCCAAATGGAAATCTTTTGAAGGGGTATTTTAAAGGAAATCTAAGCATTTGACAATTATGCAGATAATATTGTCAGGTGAATCTGAACAATAGCAAAATTTGATGGATCAATGAGTTTTTGAAGTATGTGTGAGGAAAAATCTCAGTATGTTTATTTCTGATTTTAGCTCTCTGGGAAAGGAATTTCAGCCATGCTGATGATCTTCTCTCTCTTGGAATTCTGTGTAACTTGTACCACAGCCCATTTTTCCAGCCAAACAATCACCATGAGCAACAAGGTGAGTTGGGCCTCTTCTCTGTAAAACAGTCAGAATATGCCCCAGAGAAATACAGACTTAGGGGTCTGATAGACGCCACTATAGGCTTACAAGAGGGCTCTTTGTCTTCGACTTTCTTAAGAGACCAGGGAAAACAGAATAGGATTGTAGTAATGGTATTGCTTGTTTTTATTTGTTCATTCCAGCCTGTCACGGTTATTCCAACTGTGTATACAGTCAACCCCATGACACCAGAGTCTTCCTCGGCTCCTTCCAGAACTAACGGCTATCCAGCTTACACCACTAACTATTAACAGAAGAGAGGTACCAGTCCATCATCCAATGTCAAGGAGCAAAACTGCTCTGGAGGAATCTCTTAGAAGCCAGCTTCTAATGTTCACAGTGATTGTTAACTTTTATAGAAAGATGCGTCCTTGAATTCATCACTAATGATAACTACTTCCTGTCACTGTCTCTTCCTACAAGCCTACACTGCACACTGGCAAAGTAAAGGGCCAAAAGACTGAAAAATGGCTTTACAACTCTCTGAAATTTAGAAATTTTCATGTTACCTTTTCCTCAATAACATAATGTCAATAAAATGTCATAAGGAACATAAGCCTTTTTGGTATATTTTAAACTTCATTTTTGCTTGATATGTTTTAGATCAGCCAATCTGACAAACTCTACAAAGCAGACTGATAAAAAATTTCTTTGATGATGATCTGCCGCGGATCCAAGTTATTAGAGTTCTTTTAATCACCCCCATTTCTGTTCAGAAAGCAAATGCTGAATTGCCCTTCTTAGAGACCACATTATTATATACATTAATCCCATCAAATATCTTGGATGTCTACAAAGCTTTGCTATTAATGGAGCATTTTCATATACATTAAACTCCTTTGCAACAGAGCAATTTCAAGACAATAATGATGCGTTAATGGTTTTTTTTATTTTGGTTTTAGCTTTTTGTTTTTGAAATAGGAGGAATGGACAAATTTAAAAAGCCAGTAGGGGAGGGGAATGGTGCTGTGCCATAAGCCTCTGCCTGTAGCACTGTCATCCCACTTGATTGCTGGTTCATATCCTGGCTGCTCCTCTTCCCATCCAGCTCTTTGTTATAGCCTAGAAAAGCAGTAAAAGATGGCCCAAGTGTTTGGGCCCCTGCAACCACATGGGAGACCTGGAATAAGCTCCTGACTCCTGCCTTCATATTGGCCTAGCTCTAGCCACAATGGCCATTTGGGGAGTGAAGCACAGGATGGAAGAACTTTCTCTCTGTCTCTCCCTCTTTCTGTATGTAACTCTCTCTCTCTCAAATAAATAAAAATTTTTTAAAAATCCAGTGGAAACAACCCAGATAAAAGAGAAGGAATAAATGACAGTTGGAAGACATGGCTTAAGTCATGAAGAAGGGTTGTTTCTCTCCATCATGGAAAGAAAAGAAGATGTAATTGCTGCACACACCTAAAGTTTTGCAATAATGGTAATGAGTATACAGGGCGGTTCCAATATGATGATCATGACACCTTTGTCAGAGTAGGAGTGGAGGGCATGGTGAAATATTAAACAGAATAGGTGATGTTTAAAAATCATGGAAAAAAATAATCAACTGTTAGGAGAAACAGAGGAGGACGGCCAGGCTGTAATGAGGGCATATTTGAAGGGATGATCACAAATTTGCAGTGCAAATGAATTACGCAGTAGGGTGTGGCTGCTCAGATATAGATCCAAAGAAAGTACCTGGTAACACTGAGGGTTAGATTTTTCTCTACAAGAAATGATTAAACAGCTAAGGGGACAAGAAATATGAGTGTATGGTAAATAGTAAAATAATGAACTGTGGAATCTAAACTGGATAAGAAATGTGGGGGGAGGATAGAATAATTTTAAAATTGAGATATATGGAGTGGGTGATTGGTGCAGTGGGTAAGTCGCCTTTTGGGATACCCACATCCCATATCAGAGTGTCTAGATTCAAGTCCTGGCTCCATTTCTAATTTCAACTTTGTTAATGAACACCTTGGGAGGCAGCAGGTGATGGCTCAAGTAATTGAGTTCCTGCCACCCATATGAGAGGTCTGAACCGAGTTCTAGGTTCTTGGCTTTGGCCTGGTCCCATTCTGGCTATTACAGGCATATGCGAAGTAAACCAGTGCGTAGAATCTCTCTCTCAAATCAAAATATTAATTAAAAAATTTTAATTGAGAATCTGCTTTCTCCAGTAGACTTATGAAGATCAAATGAGATGTTTTATGAAAATGGTTTCAAAATAGCAATGTATTATGCATTTCTGAGTTTTAAATTATTAAATAAGCCAGAAAAGGAGGGGAAACATTGGGAAAGAGTAGGAGAAAAATCAAACTCATGAAAGGGGTATGTAAAAAAAAGATTTTTGCATCTAAGAAAGCAAGAGTATTATGTCAGATAAGAGTTGCATCATTTCAAGGTTCTCATCCTGCCTGGATCCTCAACTATTTAGCAACCTGAGTAGTCAGGAATGCTGTTTCCTTCACCATGAAGCTCAGAAACTCAGCCAAAGGTAAGGCACATACTATGGTCTGAGAGTCTAGGAATTAAACGGTGTCCCCAAAATATCTGGAGTAGAGTAGTATACTATATATCTTCATATATAAAATAAAATGCTATAAAAGATTATGATACTTACTTTGGGGAACAGACACATTTCCAACAAAATTCATTCGTTAAATAAATTTCCAATCAATATATTATTCAATTTTAATAATAATAATAATGATAAAAGTAAATATTTAGACCAGATTGGATGCCCGCCATATTCTAAACACCTACATACATTAACACATTTCATACAAATAGCCATCTTGTATGGTTGGTACTATTATTAGCATTATTTCCACATAAGAAAACTTTGCGAGAGTTTTTAAAAAAAAACTTTCTTAAAAAGTTAGCAAACAGAGGGGCCAGCACCATGGCACAGTGGGTTAGTCATCCGCCTGTGGCGCCGGCATCCCATATGGGCGCCAGTTCGCATCCCAGCTGCTCCTCTTCCAATCCAGCTCTCTGCTGTGGCCTGGGAAAGCAGTAGAAGATGGCCCAAGTGCTTGGGCCCTGGTACCTGCAAGAGAGACCAGGAAGAAGCACCTGGCTCCTGGTTTCGCATCGGCATAGCTCTATCTGTTGCGGTCATCTGGGGAGTGAACCAACGGAAGGAAGACCTTTCACTCTGTCTCTCTCTCTCACTATCTGTAATTCAACCTCTCAAATAAATAAATAAAATCTTTAAAAAAAAAAAGTTAGCAAAGAGTAAAGCATAGATTTGAGCTCAGGAAGTCTGGCTCCCAAATCCAGGCATTTCTATTAACTACTATTACCACTATTCTGTCTCAAATACAGAGACTTGCAGCTCCAAAGCAAACAAATCATTCTCTCTATAAAAATTACAGTAAAGTTAGAAGAATCTACCTTCCCTGATGACAAAAAAGGGTTTTAATCATATAATAATGCCATGTTCAATACTTGCTTCCTGAAAGTTACCACAATTACATCTCAAAAGCCCCTATGTACGTATCTAAGAGGGTTAGCTGCTTTCCTGCCTAATTTCTCTTTTCACTAAGCAGTCAAAGGATGCTAATACAGTTGGATTTCAACAATATGAAACTTTTACTTGAAGCTCTTTAGAGTATGAAAAAGATTTCCTATTTCAACAATTTAAACAATGATTCAAGCATAAACTACCTATATAATGGTTTTTTTTTAAATAATGGAATCATGTTTTTATTCATTAAGGAGCAATACTCATTCATTCAACATATCTATTGAAAACCTACTCTGTACAAGGCAGTGTTTTACGAACTTGAGATAAACAAAGATTCTGTTCCTTAAAAGCTTATAGTATCTATGCAAACATTTGAGAAACATTTATAGGCTTCTATGAAAAGATTTGGGAAAAGTAAAAGTATAAAATATATGACTTTAAAGCTTAAAATTTCCAAGGCTTCTAAAATTATTTGTGACCTGGAATCTGAGAAGGTCACAGAAATATCTTGAGAAATCTGAGAAGAAGTATTATATCCCAGCATAGGGGTCACATCTATGTCATACCGCATAATTGCATTGTGGTTACTAATGAAAAGTATATGTAACAGTTGTCCCATAAACTTACATCACCATTACAGGGACATTATTGCCAGAACACTCTGATGTTTGCACAACAAAATTGCCTTAAGATTCATTTTCAGAACATACCCCCATCATTAAGGAGTGTATGACTATGTTTCGTTTTGGAGTATCTCAAGTACTGTTCATTTGTTCGTTTACTTACTTAAAATGTGTTACACAATTACTTTGTGACTAAACACTATGATAGGCTATTACATAAAATTTAGGCTTCACAGGTTTTATTCATTTAGAATAAAACAAAATGAGATAGAGTGGGATTTATCTAAATGTTAGTGCACTTTTTTTCATGCAGAAGTAATTAATGCTGGATTTGATTACACTTTGCCCAAGAAATATTACTCAAGCTATACCACACACACACACACACACACAAAACCCAAGTGTATAGTATAGTAAGTCTCTTCCCTCCTCAGAAGTTCACAATTAGATCTCTAGGGTTCTAGAGTGTCTTCCAATTCTAAATGCTAAGGTTTTATATAAGGTCAACAAATCATCATAGAACAAATGGGTTCATCATGGAATACACAGCCTCAGGATGTATCTTTCTAGAATCCATCAATTTTTCTTCAATACATACATATCATTGATTCATGCATGGCCAACACAGCACTTCTGAAAGCTCTTTTTTTTTTTTTTTTTTTTTGACAGGCAGAGTTAGTGAGAGAGAAAGACAGAGAGAAAAGTCTTCCTTCCATTGGTTCACCCCACCAAATGACTGCTACAGCCAGCGTGCTGTGCTGATCCAAAGCCAGGAGCCAGGTGCTTCCTCCTTGTCTCCCACGCTGGTGCAGGGCCCAAGCACTTGGGCCATCCTCCACTGCCTTCCCGGGCCACAGCAGAGAGCTGGACTGGAAGAGGAGTAACCGGGACTAGAACCAGCGCCCATATGGGATGCCGGTGCCACAGGTGGAGGATTTACCTACTGTGTCACAGCACCGGCCCTGAAGCTCTCTTTCCTACAGCATGTTTTGCACTTGTCACACCCTTCAAATTTACTAAGCATTCTGACCAAACCTACCCATTGATGTGGAGGGACTGCTTAGACATCTGTTTGCAGAAATGATTTGCAACAGGAAAAAAATCCTGCAGAAATGCTGAGCTCAAGCATCTGAGGCTCCTGCTGAAAGGCCAAGAAAGAGAGTCTAATTCCCAGCCTGTCTTCGATGATTAGGTCTGATCCCCATGGAGAAAGGGGTATGCTCCTCATTTGAGCACAGCCTATTTCCAGGCTCCAAATCTGTAGGGAAAACTGTAGAAAATACAAGGTTATTTGAAGATTTCTGATGATTTGGAGTTTGGGAGTTCTGGGAAACAGAACCTGGAACAAGGCAGCATCTCCCAGAGAAGCTGCAGCGAAACCAGGAGAGACTGAGCTGTATGCTATAAGCAGATGCTAAATGACCACCACACACATACTGAGGATGCCTGCTGCAGAATACTTAGCCCATCACCTCACATACTTTTTTCAAAAAAGATTTATTTATTTATTTGAAAGCCAGAGTTACAGAGAGATAGGGAGAGAGACAGAGAGAGAGAGCAATCTTCCATCTGCTGGGTCAGTCCCCAAATGACCCAAATAGTCAGAGCTGGACCTGGCCAAAGCTAGGAGCCGAGAACTTCTTTCAGATCTTCCACATGTGTGGCAGGGTCATCTTCCACGGCTTTCCCAGGCACGTGGAGCTGGATCCAAGGTGGAGCAGCTAGGACTGGAACTAGCACATACATGGGATGTTGACATCACAGGCAGTGGCTTAACCTGCCGCCCCATAACACTGGCCCCAACATCCTGTCTTCCATATGCAGAACCTGGGCTTGGAACCCAGGACATTTGCTTGTTCTCTTGGACATCTTGTTGCTTTTTTGTTATGCACACTGTGAAGTGTTTTACAGACTTTTTTCTTTTTGCTATCTGCTCTAAAGATCACAATCAATTTTGTATCCCACTCATATTTTCATTCTTACTTGTGATTTTACTCTATGTTCCCACCTTTGTTTCATTTTCATCTTCTACAAATGTTTTAAATTATACCACATTGGTGCATATGATATATATCATATGATTGTGTATATGTATGGTTGTGTGTGAATATTTGAGTCTTATTTATTTTTTATTCAAAGATTTATTTGTGTATTTGAAAGTCAGAGTTACATAGAGAGAGAAGGAGAGGCAGAGAAAGAGAGAGAGAGAGAGTCAGTCTTCTGTCTGCCAGTTCATTCCCCAGTTGGCCACAATGGCTGGAGCTGTGCTGATCTGAAGCCAGAAGCCAGGAGCTTCCTCCAGGTCTTCCACATGGGTGCAGGGACCCAAGCATTTGGGCCATCTTACACTGCTTTCCCGGGCCATAGCATAGAGCTTGATTGGAAAAAGAGCAGCCAGGATTTGAACTGGTGCCCATATGGGATGCTGGCACTGCAGGTGGCAGCTTTACCTGTTATGGCACAGCGCTGGCCCCAAAAATATCCTTATTTATAAAACTGCTTTAAATTCTTTCTAGAACAAAGCAAAGTCTAAGAACAAAAATAACTGGTTTCATTTAATTTGCACAGCAATATTATGAGATGGATATAGTTCTTCCAATTTTGAAATCAACTAAACATCAAAGCTATAAAATTCCTTATCAAACTCACAAAACTGGTAACAGCTGGTCTGAATCCCAGTTTTTTTTTTGTTTTGTTTTTAATCCAAAACCTCATGCTTTTCCTTCCAGTTAAATGAGAAAAAGATACTGAAGGGGGTAATGAAAAGTCACAATTTTCCCTAGAAAGTCATTTCCCATTTTTGCTGTACAAAAAAAATGCTTAAGTGAACACAATTAAAGTGTCTGGGTCTTCCAGTCAGATATTCTAAAATCAGGCATCCAGTGGGCCCCATTTTCTTTGGCCCAATAAGCGTGATGTGGCCACTTGGGTGGTCAATCAGTACTCAGCAGATCTCAGCTAGACTAGACATTCAGGAAACCTTCCTCAGTACTTCTTAACAAGTTGGTTTTGTAATTTCTCCTTTATACCAGCATTCAGAGGCTTGGGAATTGCATTTTTGTATGTTGAAGTTGATTAGCTGACATGACCTCTTTCTTTTCAACAAATAAAACATGAAACTTCAAAAAAAATATTCTGCAGTATTCCCAGAAATACTTTGCGAAAGGGGGTCATTTTTCAGTACGTAGGGCTACAAACCAGGCAAATTTGGTCTCAACAGCTACTGTGTTATTCTAATGCCCACAGATTAGGGAAACCAGTTGATTTTTGCCTTTCTCTCTTGGTATTTGTACTTAAATCAAACAAAGCCTTTCTCTCTCAGGTTATTCTCTGTAAGACAATTTATCATTGTTAATTACCTGATTGGTCTTCTCTCTACTCCTCAATTCCCTGGCTTCACTCTTAAAAGTAAACAGCCATTTAGTAAATTCTAAGATCTCAGTTGTGCTCAGGGGTCTCTTTTTCCACAAATGCTCCCAGGAAGTCTCTACCCAGGTGTTTTTGTTGGTTTTTTTGTTTTTGTTTTTTTTTGGAGGGGATTGGTTTTTGTGGTTGGTTATTTGTGTTTTAAAGATATATGTACTTGGCCGGTGCCGCGGCTCACTAGGCTAACCCTCCGCCTGCGGCGCCAGCACCCCAGGTTCTAGTTCCGGTCAAGGTGCCGGATTCTGTCCCAGTTGCTCCTCTTCCAGTCCAGCTCTCTGCTGTGGCCCGGGAAGGCAGTGGAGGATGGCCCAGGTCCTTGGGCCCTGCACCCGCAAGGGAGACCAGGAGGAAGCACCTAGCTCCTGGCTTCGGATCAGCGCAGTGCACCAGCTGTAGTGGCCATTTGGGGGTGAACCAATGGAAGGAAGACCTTTCTCTCTGTCTCTCTCTCACTGTCTAACTCCGCCTGTCAAAAAAAAAAAAAAAAGATATATGTACTTATTTACTTGAAAGGTAGAGAGAGAGAGAAGAGAAACCGAGACAATCTTCCACCTACTGGTTAACTTCCCAAATGGCCACAACCAGGAGCCTGAAATTGGAGCAGCTGGGCTTTGAACTGGCTCTCATGTAGGATGCTGCCATTGCAGGCAATGGCTATCTGCCATTTACCTGTCGCACCACAACACAGGCTCCACCTTTATCCAGTTTAAGCTTCATTTACAATTTGACTTTATATTTCACAACTCCTACACTCTTCAGAAAGCACTTCTAGGTCAAATGTGACTTCTCATATATTCATATAATGCCACAATGTCTATAGAGCTTAAGACCATAATTTTACAGAGAGAAAATGAAAGCCAAGAATACTGCAGGGCAGTGCACACAGCCAGAAGTAGAGCTGAGAACCAGCCCTAAACCTCACAACCTCAATAGTGTGGGGACCCATGGCTGGCCACGGGCCCACATGCTAAGGCTTAGCTTGCTGACTGTGGGGAGCAACCGGACTAGACTGAGTTACTGGAATTAAGACTTATTCTATGCATCTGCTCTCCCACAGTATGGCGCTGGGAGAGAAGTAAACAGCTTCCGCACAGCTGCCTCCAGTTCAACTAATAAACTGTAGGACTTGCTATTGATTGGAGGAGAGCAGCGTACTCGGCGTGTGGGCAGCCGAGTTAGGATTGGCGGAGGAGGACTATAAAGGAGGAGAGAGACAACATGCACCAGGAACATCTATGGGGAACATCTAAGGGAACCCGTGCAGCCCCCGAGAAAGCCGGCCGGCGGTGTGCCGCTCCCCTGCGGAAGTGGGGAATGCGGCCAGGGGGAACTGCCCTTCCACGGAGGTGGAAGGGATAGTAGCCAAACCGGGAAGAACCAGCAGCAAACCCGGGGAGGGCCGAGCAGACGAAAGAACAGCGCAGGGTCCTGTGTCGTTCCTCCACGAAGAGGGGGAGCGACATAATGGTGCCGTGACTCAGATATGAAGCCTAGGCAGGGTTTAGTGTCGTTCCTCCACGAAGAGGGGGAGCGACATAATGGTGCCGTGACTCGGATATGAAGCCTAGGCAGGGTTTAGTGTCGCTCCTCCACGAAGAGGGGGAGCGACAGCTGACCATTGGCAATAGTTACTGCTGTGTGGATGTTTATGGTTTCTGTTGAGCTGCGATATCGGGACCGTTTCATAACCCCAGGCTAGAGTCAAAACAACTATGGCCTTGGGGCATCCCGTGCTTCTTTTCCCACTGAGCAAGGTTGAGAAAACACCAGGTGGAAGCTTGTTGTTAGCACCCGAGTCGCCTGCTACGTGACCAGGAGCTTGATTGGATGAAGGCACGTGATCACCTTTATGGTTGGACAAGGAGCGCATGGACTGTGCGTGATCAGACACCCGACTGGAGCACCGCCACATGGACTGTAGCATGGACTAAGCTTGCATTACATGCTTCTGTAATGATATACTATATAAGCCGTTTGTGATATGGAACGGGAGCTTCCCCTTTCTTTCGGAGCTCCCCTTGCTCAAGGGTTTCTCTTTCTATCCTGTTAAAATAAAGTCTACTGAAGACCGATCAGCTGGGAGCAGTGTCGTTCCTTCGCGGGCAAGGGAACCACAAATAGTATTCTTTATGCAGTCCCATGGAAAAAACAAATGTGGTACTCCATATAGAAGGCTTAAAGAGAAAAACAATGGGGTAAGGAATATAGGTTCTAGAGTTAGATTCAGATCCCTGGAGTCATAATCTCAACACCAGCATTTATAAGCTGTGTGGCCATGAACACCACACTTCGCATCTCAGAAAGATGGAAATAACAATGGTATGTACATTACAGGCAAGCTGTGAAGTTTAAATAAAATAAGCAGGAACCAGTGCTGTGGCCAGTAGGTATAGAGAAAATAAGTGTTGGTTTAATGATCTATGGTATTATCAAAGGAATTAAGAAGTGCCAAGGTTCTTAACCATTGATTCAACAAATGTATAAATAAAGTTTTACAAAAATATATTTGTGGCACCGGCGCTGTGGCATAGCAGGTGAAGCCGCTGCCTGCAGTGTCGGCATCCCATATGGGTACTGGTTCCAGTCTCTGCTGCTCCACCTCCCATCCAGCTCTGCTACGGCCTGGGAAAGCAGCAGAAGATGGCCCAGGTGCTTGGGCCCCTCCACCCGTGTGGGAGACCCAGAAAAAGCTCCAGGCTTCTGTCTTTAATCGTCGCAGCTCCGGCTGTTGCAGCAAAATGGGGAGTGAGCCAGTGGATGGAAGACCTGTCTCTCTGCCTCTCCTTCTCTATCTGTGTAATTCTTTCAAGTAAATAAATAAATCTTTAAAAAAACCTCTTTATTTGCAGCAATACTGATACACATAGACATTTCTTTTTTCTTTCAATGATCTGTAATTTAAACTTTACTGTAAATAAATGAAGTGGTAATTTTTCCATTCAATTATTGTTTATAGCAGTTGTCTGTATTCCCACTAAACTAGGGTTTTTTTCTTTTTTACTTTTAACTTGTTAAGCTTCTTATTTGGTGAAGTATTAAGTCTTTTTACTGTAATGTAAACTTAAAATATGTTATCTCAAAAACAAACAAAAAAGACAAAAAGGAAAAAGAAGGAGGATGGGAGGGAGGGAAAGAGGAAGGAAGGGAGGAAGGGAATACCAGCATGTTCTTAGAATTTTATCTGCAAATCAGATTGAATCTGTTAAAAGCTAACTAAAAATCAAAATAAACATTTAAAAAAAGAAGTGCCAAGAAACTGTGCTTGCCTCACAATTTCGCTCACTCTTCTATTCTTGCACATTTCATATTAAACAAATATTTCAAATGATCAAACCCAAGATAATTTCTAGAGACCACTGGCTAAATCTTAAAAGAAAAATTATGGTACTTCTCTCATAATTAATCTGTCTTAGCAAGTTATAATACGGACCCATCTCATCAGAATTGGATCTTTCTTCTATGGATTCTACTAAATTCATAATTTTGAGGTTGAATACATGTTCAAATGAATTCTTTCTGTAGCACATAAAATTTTTAATATTGTCAGAGCTCTCCCTGCTCATGAGCAAATACATCACAGAAGCACAATGTTAGAAAATAAAGTGCTACTTAAGAATAAACTATCAGTGACACACTGCCCAGTATAAAATATAAAGACTTAAATGGTAGTGTGGTCATTTCTTTTTTGTTGTTTGTTTGTTTTAGGGGACTTTGGTGTTCCAATGTAAGGAAATTAGCTGTCAGGCTGAAAACAGTTACTTGTTTATTATTTTGGCTATAAAACAATCCTAGAAGAGTAGGTATGTAGCTGAAGGCCTATCTACGTGTGCTGTTTTACTCTCTGGTTATCATTCACTACATGACTATTTACGGTGGGAGGTTGTTTGGTTTTTATCTGTTTCTTTGTTTTTCCAAAATGTCAACCTAAAATTTAAAATAAATGAGAGCCCATAACCATCTACTTCAATGCCTCAGAAGCCATGACGGCTCGGAACAGGAGGAGGGAGCTGCACTTGCGAGAGTATACACTGCTCACTTGAGGTCTGTTTTGTTTTGTTTTTCCACCTCCTCATTCATCCCTTCAGACTGGACTCTTCGGGACCTTCCTAGCGGCTACCTCTGCTTCTTATTTCTCCTCGTAAACATACCGTCCTCAGCACACGGAATACCCATCTCAGCATCTCAGCAGGTGCATCAAAAAGTCATTCAGGCAGCTTGCCAAATTCTCTCCATTAATGTTTCCTTCTTTTGTTACTTATGTTGAAAGAAAAATAAGTCATCATTAAGTCGGCTACTTGCCTTTTTCACACTGACAGCTTCTAAGGTGTATTTGCGAGGCCAGAGAAGGCGAAGGACTGACTTCTCTAACGTGGTCCAGGTCACCTCGATGAAGGGCCAGCCTCAGAGAGCCGCTGCCAGCGGCGCCAAACCTGAGCCGCGACTTCCGCCACCACAAGGGACGTGGCTCTAGTGAGTCTGCGCATGCGCCTCCCTCTGCCCCGCCCCCAGTAGTTGCGCAGGCGTGCTGGGACCACGTCGCGCTGCCGTTGGAGACCCTCCGGAAGTGCTTGAGGGCCGGCTGGTTCTGGGCTCCCTACTACAGCTGTGATGGCCGTTCGGTAGGGTCTAGAGACTTGGCGCTGAGGGCGGGCACCGCCAACCGAAATCTGCCTCTTCAGCCAGGTCCAGGTGCTCACGTGAGGACCCTGACTGTGTGCTCTGGGTTAGAGTGGCCAGCCCGTGAGGTGGACCCCCACAGCCACAGGCCTGGACCTGAGAGGGCGAACAGAATCTTCCTGGTGACCTTGAACAAGGAAAATGCGAGGTAACTGTGGTTCTGCTTACGAGCTGTCTGGAGTGTCAGAACCCACAAAGGGGCTCAGGGGTCGTGACCCTCCTGTACAGTCACCCACCTTTCTGGAGGTAATCAGGTACTGAGCTTCGGGGCCCGAGTCGAGGACTGGGCCTGGGCAGCCAGAATGGAATTCTTTGACCTATGAAGTTGACAATGACTTGGAGCCGGTCCTAAAAGTCAAAGGAAGACACGGAGAAAGGAGTATCACAGATTGAGGCGTCAGAGCTGACTTCCCAAAGAAAGTTACAGCTGGAGCTGCTGCAGTCCGAGGGGTTGCCGGGATGAGGTTCAGGTGCACAGGGAGCAGTTCGTGAAGGGCTTTGGGAGTCCTGCTAAAGAATTGAGGCGTAATTTTATGTAATTATTTTCCTTTATTTTAGCTTCATCTGAAGACAGGGAGGGGTTGCGTCTCTGCTGAAGATAGAGAAGTAGTTTCTGGACTTGGACCTCTCTCTTCCAGAACTACTGTGTAAGCATGATTAGGGGGTGAGAGTGGAGTTGGGAATAAGACTCGGGATACTTATGCTGCAGCTGCTTTTGGATTCATGATAGGAACTACCAGAAAGTAAAGTAAATGGTTGACTTTATTTACGTTTTTTCCTTTTACAAAAACAGGATGCTTAAGAAGGTTGAAGAGTCACCAAATGTAGAATGATTTAAAAAATTCCAGTTATTCTAAGAATATATTATAGAATTGCTTTATTTTGTGGCCATTTGAGAGGTGAACCAACGGAAAAGGAAGACCTTTCTCTCTGTCTCTAACTCTGCCTGTCAAAAAAAAAAAAAAAAAAAACAAACCCAGAATTGCTTTATTTTATCCATCACTGAAGACTTAAAATATATACATAGAATCCTTTTTTTCTAATTAATATTTTTGAATACTTGGGGTGGCTTTGGTGGGGGTTATAGTGATGCTAAATATTCTCCCCAAGTCATTTTGTGATTCCACTGTTAAACTAGGGCTGCCAAAGGAACTTTTATAAATATAGGAGTTATTTTCCCGTATTCTGGAAAGTGACAAGTAACAGCAGTTTGACATGGATATTCTTCATCTACAAGAATTCTGTAATTCTATGACTTTTTATTGAATCATGACAGTGATTAACGTGGGTTGCCTATAGATTAAAAACCCTTTGATATTTGTTAAAGATGGCATTTAAATGTATAAATCTTACTTCAGTTACATGTTGTCTTTTACTATCGTATCCCTTGTATACTCAACCTAGTTTTTTCTGTCTCTGTGCTTCAGAGTGTTAACAGACATTGAGAAAATAAAATTTTAGAAACTAAAGACTTATTGAAATAATCAAGTCATTATATTTAAAGAGTTCATAGGATAAGAGATTATTTAGTCTGACTTCTTCCTTTCTGAAAGACTAAACGTTTAAAATTAAGTCAGGTGAAACAGCACTCTGGCTTCAGAATCAGCCCTTGAGGTATTCGGATCTGGCTAAAAACCCTATGAGAGTATCTCAGGCATGGAAAGCCAAGACACTGTGGCAAAAAATGACCTAAATGAAAGATCTCTGTGAGTGAGATTTCGCTGGAAAGAAGGGCCATCAAAGAAGGAGGTACCTTTCTCTGAAGGGAGGAGAGAACTTCCACTTTGACTATGGCCTTGTCTAAATAAGGTCGGAGTTTGTGAACTCAATAGGTTTCCATAGCCTTGGCAGCTCATGACAAGAGCCTCAGGTGATTACTGATGTCATAAATTAGAGTGTCAATTGTTAAATCAACAACAGGACTCACTGAACTTGCTCCCTATGTAGGACCTCTGTCCTTAATATGTTGTACTATTAGAATTAACGGTAAAACCAATCTTCAAACAGTACTTTATACTTTGTGTCTGTGTGGGTGCAAACTGTTGAAATTTTTACTCAGTATAGAGTTGATCTTCTGTATATAAAGACAATAAAAAATGAATCTTAATGAAGAATGGGATGGGAGAGGAAGTAGGAGATGGGAGGGTTTGCAAGTAAGAGGGTTGTTATGGGGGGAAGAACCGCTATAATCCATAAGTTGTACTTTTGAAATTTATATTTATTAAATGAAATTTTCTATAAAAATAAAGTCAAGTGGCATCATTCGTGTTACTGACATGTACGTGACATAATAGAAATAAAATTTCAGATCTACAGAGGAATACAGTCTGATAAAGGGATATAATTATTACCCAGATTTTTATCTTATAACAGGAAAATTCTCTTAAATACCAGGAAGAAATGCAGAAATAACAGGGGTGGGATAGGGGAGGAGAACAGGAGACTACCTTTGAGGTTGCAGAAGCAACTTTGATAAGTTGACTGAAAGAGAAAGGGTTATGTTCATATAATAACAAGATAGCAGGTACTATATAAGGAAAAAAATATAAGCTTGATTTTGGTGAATTTACGAATTTATTTTTAATGAAAATTTGGGATTGGAAACCAATTGAATTGATTATGAATTGCACATGAATTACTGAAAATTCTCTATTACTGTTCCATAGGTGCTCCTTACATTTTATCTTCTAGAGACACTATTTACTACTAAGAAATAATATCCATAAAATCTATTTTCATTTAGTCATGGAGAGACTTTTCAGATAGGTAGGAGATACTAAAAAAAGTTAATGCACCTAAAAGTAAAGCATGGAGAAAAGAAAACAGTTGCTTCTGAGTTTGGGAAAATGGTTGCCAAACAATAAGAAAAGAATCAGACTTGTGTATTTTCTTTTGAGAGAACCATATGTATGTGTTTTGTATTGTTTTGTAGAAACTTTCTAATAAAGATAACAACAAAGTTTAAAGACAAATTCATCTTGAGGAAATGCTGATAATATGGCATGTGTATGTGGGAGTTCAAAAATCTCTACAGCAGATAGTCTTGTTTTAGGGGTAAGTAAAATTTCACTTAGAGTAACTTCAAGATCATAAAGGATTTCATTTTTAAAAATATATTCTTGTATCTAGAAAGGGGCAGATTTGACTAAATCAAAAAGGTAAAAGTTTAGTTTTTAATGTTGTCATTTACAAATTTTGAACAATTTCATGCCCTTTTGCATAATATATGCATAGATTTTTTACATAGATATGTGTACTGACTAAACCAACACACTCAAGGTAATAGAGAATTCCAAATAAAGGGTAAAAGAAGACGAATACCTATGATTTTTTAATTTTTTTTTACTTTTAAAGAGACTGTAAGTGATCTATTAGTTATTATATAGATGTATATGCAAAAGTTTTATAAATATATCTCTTCTGTTATAAACATGTAAGGTTATAATTTGTTCAGCTCTCTTAATAAACACCAAAGAATAATGAGGATTATGCACCTTCACTTCTGAAGAGGAGAAAATTTTTCCTCTGACTCTAACTTTTTCTTTGAATTTGGATACCAGGCAGAAAAATTGTCTAAATCTTTTACCTCACTATTCAGCTGAAGTTCTTAATCTCCTTGAGGTTCATAGAACACTTTGGGCATAGAATGAAACTGAATCTTCTCAGAATCATGTTTATATCACAATCCTTTGTACTTTTTTAGATGAAAAAAGGTAAGTCTGACCTGGAATTTATTCATTGAATTTAGATTAAGAATAATTTTTAATTAAGAAAACCTATCTCGTATTTCACATTCTGACATTTGGCTATTTAGATATTTGAGCTTTATATCGAATAATATCTAGTCATATCAAAAAGACTCTTTCAAGCCCACTTCTTTTACTTGTTGGAAAAGTGGTATGTAATTAGAATTCTTGGTAACAGTATGCTTCTACACAAGGTTCTCATTGGGTGCCTGCTCTATGCTGGGCACCGTATTAGAGGCTGGTGTTCCAAAAATGGTATGGTAAGAGTCCTTGAACATGTTGCAGTCTAGTACAGAATATCACCCCCAATCAAATCCAAAAAAAACCTCTGAAATAATACCATCCTTACAAATCTGATGCAGTGGGAAACCTTAATTTTAAATTTATAAAAATTCTAAGAGCATCACCAAAACACAAATCTTTTCTTTAAAAAAGGAACTTCTTGGGGGCCAGCACTGTGGTGCAGCGGGTTAAAGCCCTGGTCTGCAGTGTCAGCATCCCATATGGGCGCCAATTGGTGTCCCTGCTGCTCCACTTCCAATCCTGGTCTCTGCCATGGCCTGGGAAAGCAGTAGAAGATAGCCCAAGTCCTTGGGCTCCTGCTCCTGAATGGGAGATCTGCAAGAAGTTCCTGGCTCCTGGCTTCAGATCAGTGCAGCTCCAGCTGTAGCAATCTGGGGAGTGAACCAATAAATGGAAGACCTTTCTCTGTCTCTCTCTTTGCCTCTCCTACTGTGCCTTTCAAATAAATAAATCTTTAAAAAAACCAATTAGCCAGTTGCATTGTGTTTCATAGACTACTTACTTATCAAACACTCAGAATTCTAAAACATTTAATAATTTCCTATTAATGCTTACAAGAAAAAGAATTCTAGATTCTAGATATGAAAAAGCAGTTCTCATATAAATTTAGAAATTACTGGATTTATAATTATCTTTTTACAAATTCTAGTTGAATAATAATTGTCCCCTTCTGTAACACATCCACTATCCAATGCAAAGACCTAGTGTAAAGCAAATTCATCTTGGGTATCCTTTGTATTGCCGTGCTGAATTATACCAAACTCCAGCATGCTTATGAAGTTTTACTCCATGTAATCCTTGAAAGAGAAGGTAGATTTTTGAAAGTTAAAGATGATTGACTCAATAAATTATAGATTTGTAAGAAAACGTTGAATATATGGCTTCCTGCACTGTAAATTAGAAACCTTTAGTGTGCTCGGGACCCATAGTATGCTCTTCTCATGGCATTACTTGATAGGTTGAAAGGATAGCCAATAATAGAATCAAGTTATCAAGTTTCTTATGAGAGAATTGGCCAGAAGTGCTACCATTGAGCAGTTTATTGCTCTAAGTATGGCTGATTCCTGTTTCATAAGCCTCAGTCCTTCCTGGCTAGGGGCTTCTTTTTGAGTTAATCAGTCCAGGAAATACATGGTTAAATACACTGGTATTTTACTGTCATCTTTTTTTAAGCTATTGAATGTCTCTTATATTTAACAATACTGGAATAGTGTTTTAAATTACATTCTCTCAGTAATAATAACATTCTCTTCTCATAGGCTATCCAGATTATGATTGGCATCTTTCAGGTTTTGATGTGGCATTTCCTTTTGGTTTTGTATATGGGACAAATCAAAGGAGTCTTTGGAACATATGAACCCATAACTTACAAAACAGGATGTGCTTTATGGGGAGTTTTCGTGAGTAGAAACATTTATATTGATTTAATCATTCAGTAAGTGATATTCATACAAATATTAGAAGATAGGGAACAGCTTATCAACAAGATTTTCAGAAGAATTATGTAACTAAATTTCATGTTTGTGATTTATTTGAAGTCAGATTCCTTTTCAACAAAACTGTACTAATGTGTGGCAATAGGAATAAACGTGCAACTGTAGGAATAAATGACAAACATAGAGTGGATTGTCCCCTATATATGTGGAAGACTTAAAGAATCTTAACCATAATTTCTGCAGCATAGTTAATTTTTGTATGTAAGTTCTTCACCTAACATTTGTTACGCAAGAATTCAATACTCGTTTTCTAAATTTGGCATTACCTACACCTTTTTGTGGTTTCAAGAGAGCCATTATGTAGAAGGAAAAACTGAAGAATATGCCACCTGGAAGCTTAAGTGAAGAAAATATTACAAGAAATAGGGAAAATCAGCTGTATTCAGTTGTCAAATAATATGAGGGCTAAGAACTGACCATTGGATTTAGCAGTATGGAAGTCAGTAGTAAAGGTAACAAACATGTTCAGTAGAATGGTGAAGCAAACACCTTACTGAAGTTGGTTTAAGGAATAATAGGAAGAGAAGAATTAGAGACAACACACGACTATAATATGATGCAGAGAAAGGCAGTGATTGCTGGGGAAATTTGGGTCAGGAGAGGGTTGGCTTATTTGATTCTCTATAAGCAGAAATAAAGAGTGCCATGCCTTCTGTTGAGGGGACTAAACCAAAAGAAAGAAAATTGATGACATGAGATAAATGGAAGCAGGGCAGGATTACTGCAATCATGAATTTGTATAGGCAAGAGAGGAGGATGAATTGTAGTGCACAAATGGCTAGGAACATGAGCAATGTATCTCTGACTGTGGTTTTCAACTAAAGGTGATTTTGCCCCTTAGAGGACATTTCAAAATGTCAGGAGTTACTTTGGATTTTTACATTTAAGGGTGTGTGTCCTACTGGGCAGAAGTCAAGAATGCTGCTAAACATCCTACAATGCGCAAGATAGCCTTTCACAACAACAAATTATCAGCTTTAATGTAAATAGTGTTAAGGTAAGGTAAAAGAGAAAGGCAGAGTAAGAGAGAAAGTACAAGTGTTAATAGGAGTTTGGGAAATTGTGAATGCTTTCTTCCAATAGATTCAAGTATCTTTGTGAATTAGAATCAAGATTATGATCTGAGCCTGCGCCGGAACTCACTCAGCTAATCCTCCTCCTGCAGTGCCGGCACTAGTCCCGGTTCTAGTCCCGGTTGGGGTGCCGGATTCTGTCCCGGTGGCTCCTCTTCCAGTCAAGCTCTCTACTGTGGCCCGGGAAGCAGTGGAGGATGGCCCAAGTGCTTGGGCCCTGCACCCGCATGGGAGACCAGGAGGAGGCACCTGGCTCCTGGCTTCAGATCGGCGCAGCACGCTGGCCATGGCAGCCATTCGGGAGGTGAACCAATGGAAGGAAGACCTTCCTCTCTGTCTCACTGTCTAACTCTGCCTGACAAAAAAATTATATATATATATATATATATATGAAAGTGAGGCTGAGCAAGTGGATTGGCTTAGTAGAGCAGATATGAAATAGCCATTTAAAAAAAGAGTCTGATTTTCATATAAAGTACTCACTTAACATTTAGGAAAATGGGAGAATGATGTTGTGGCATAACAGGTTGAGCTACTGCCTGCAATGCCAGCATCCAGTATGGGCACCAGTTTGAGTCCTAGCTGCTCCACATCTGATACAGCTCCCTGCTAATGTGCCTGGGAAAGCATTGGAGGATAGCTCAAGTTCTTGGGCCCTGCATTCATATTCGAGACTTGCAGGAAGCTCCTGGCTTCGGCCAGGCCCAGCCCTTGGCCATTGTGGCCATTTAGGGAGTGAACCAGTGGATGGAAGATTTAGTCATTCTCATTCTCATTCTTTTTCTCTCTCTCCCTCTCCCCCTCTCTTCTTTTCTTCTCTCCCTCTCTCCCTACATCTCTGTCTCTCCCTCTTTCCTTCTCCCCGCTACTCTGCCCTCCCCTCCCTCTCCCCATTCCCCTCCACTCCCTCCCTTCCTCCCTTCTTCTGTAACTGTGCCTTTCAAATAAATAAAATCTTTTAAAAAAGCATTTAGGAACATGATTGTATTGCAAAATTGATTGTGTCTTTCTCAGGCCGTGCTCTGCTGCAGGGGTACAGGCATGCAATAGGAAGAAAACTACATTAAGCAGGATTGGTTTAATTGTGAAAGTGTAATAAAACAAGCAAGGTACAAGAAGTTGAGAGTGGGTATGATTGTAATGATTAACTATCGAATGTAAGCTGATGAAGGAGAGAAGAATTTAACATGGAAATGAGAATCTCAGATTATAGATCCAGATAAAGGTCAAAATATTGTTAGAATTTTAATACTAGAGGGTGTATGCTAGAAAAATAGCAGATGGGAAATTTCATTTTGGGGATACTTGAAATTGGAATTTTTAAAGGTATAACAAAGACAAGAAGATGAATATGGAAATCGGTGACTAAGATAGATTGGAGTAAAAGATTGGAGAAAACACTTTCTCTGGAGGTTGGTGACCAAGTCCGTGGACACAGCCTCAGGAGCTGTCATATCCCCTCCTTTCTTCCATTTCACATGGTAACCAATAAAGGATGTTTGTATCAAAAAAGACTGGAGAAGAAAAACCCAAACAGCCACTAGCCCAAGGTATTAGAAAGATCATATATGTCTGTATTGAAATTGTCAAGGAATAAGTGATGGATATGGGGTAGAGGAGAGAGGAAGAGAGAATGAATGAGAAACTCATCTGGAAAGAGATGGCCAAGAAGTCAATAGATTACTTCAACTTTGAGGGGTAGTAGGTGATAGAATCTGAAGACATTTTATTCAGAGTTAGAGGAGAAAGTGGTTGGAACTAGCTGAAAGGAGCAAAGAAATTACTAAACCCATGCTTGGAACAAATAGTCTGAGGACTGCAGGAAACAATAAGCTCTAGTGAGAGAAAGTGATCACTGGAGGAAGCAGTTACATCTAGGGGATCCTCTGCCTTTATACATACACTGGCTTATAAATGTCAAAGGATTGCCTTAAGAAAAAATAGGAGAAAAATAATGAATTTTCAGACAAATCCAGATAAATGATGATTGGTTCATAGTGATGTACTATCTCACAGAGCATTGCCTTGAAAACGACAGAAAAATAGTGCATTGTCAGACAAAATCCAGGCATGTCTTTTATGTTTATATCATAAAAATAGCATATTTAACTCCCAGAATAAATTATTTAAATTTTAATTACATGAAGTTCAATGTAAAAATTCTCATTTATGTTATAAACTTTGAAAGACATCTTGTACCTGTGTGGTTCGATAATCTAGTTAGCACTGTATGCATAAGATAGTTTCATTTTTATACTGAGATAGTTTTGACCTTTACTGTGTATCTCCTTAGAAAACCCAGCCTTTGATTAAGAATGAAGTACAAACATGTAGATTTAAAGTTACCTTTGCAGAATTTATAAGCATCACGATTGACCTTCCTACCTATGATACATAGCATGAATTCTGATTTTTTCAAAAATTAGCCTTTCCCAAAACCACTAAAGGAGGTAAGAAATATTTCAAGAGAATTGTGCAGCCCACCTTCAAATAATATGGCATTTTTCTACATTCCTTGGAAATGGGCTTCCTGACACAAAATAATGGAAACTCTTTAAAAAAAAAGGATTAATGCATGAATAGCAGCTGTTTCTTTAATGACTAAAGTCTTAAGATATATATTTGTATAATCACAATGTAGAATAGACATAGACCACTTTTTCCACGTCATATGTACACAGTAACTATAATCAGTGGTACCATCTCACTAGGAAGAATAGCATTATAAGTAATCAAATGAGTTATATGTATATGTAGTAGAATACATAAAGAAGCAAACTTCCTAGTTTGGGATGGCTTCTGCTATCTTTCACATTTGTCACAAACTGAATTCTGCCCACTATCCCTTGTATATTTCTGTTAGCAGTGACTGTACTTTTACCTTTCAAAAACTGTTACCTTTTGGTTAAGATATCTCAATTCAAGACAAAATCTTGTCCTGGTCCCTTCTATTGTAATTTTTTTATATTTTGTTATTCATAGCATTCTAAAAATTATTGCCTTAAAAGAAGCTTTTAAAATATATTTAATTTTACAAGCATTATCAATGAGTTTTTATAAATGCTTTTATGTCCAGTTTATAAATGCTTTTATGTCCAGTTTATCATTTCAGGAGCTATCATAATAAGATCAACAAATCATCCAACTCGAGGCCTGGTAAGGTAAAATATTTGGAATATCTCTAGAAATCACTTGTCACAGGGCTCAACAATAGATTTTATTGAAGAGATAGTATCTCTTAACAGTGAAAAAATCAACCCTACCTGAAAATAAATGAAGAAATTAAGTGAGATTGCAGAAGCAAATAATTTAACATAAACAAATATATTAGTTAAAATCATAATTACTTTATTTAGAGATTTCTAAATTTAAATATAATTTTGCATTAGTCTATATTGTAAGATTCTATTAATTTTATGATAATAAAAGTTTAGTATGGCCTAATGTCTTTATATATAGATACTATACTTCTGTAAAACTTCATTTTCTGAAATTTCAAGCTTGGTAACAGGATTGTATCCTGTAACAAAGTAGAGAATTCATTCATAACAAAGATCTATCTGTTCTATAGTTTGAAAGTTAGTTTAGAGAAAAAAAATCTTAAGATTATTAGAATTAAAAAATTTCTTAAAAGTAATTAGTCTTGTTTTGCAGTTGTATAGCTTAAAAATACCTGACATTCAGAGATATTAATAGATCTCCTCCATATAATAAAACCAAGATTAAAACATTAATTCCTAAATGGTTTTATTTATATAAGCAGTCATTTTCTTTTCCTTTTTGTGGTAGAATTCCATTTGTTCAATTCAAGTCAATTCTTACAGACTTTCTTCCAATTGACTCATAAAATTATGAAAAATAACATTTTTGGAACCAAGTGCAAAATTGATTCTTATTGACCTGATATTTTAATATTCCCTCTAGATTAATTGGGTTTTGTGCGAGCCAGAAAAATATTTTACATAAATGGCAAGCATACCAACACTACCAAAGTCTCAAAATCTAGATCTGAGTTTTAAGTGATTTTTTTCAGTAATACAAACTATTTAACTCATGAGGTGATTCTGAATATAATAAATTTACCCTATGTATCCTTTTCAGATTATATCTGCATTGGTCATGAACATCTTCTCCATAATTACGGCAATTATTGCAGTAGTTCTGATATTTATTGAGTTGTCTAAGTTTAAGTCTGTGTCATATAGGAATTATGGACAAGCGGTAAGTGGCCAATTCTATAGGAACATCTTAATTTTAAAACCTTGGGAGATAAAATGAGGCTTTTATTGGTTCTCACAGAATTATTTGATTTAGTAGTGAGCTCTTAATTGAAATTTTTAATTCCGAAGTAATTCTAAGGTGTGATTTCTTTCAGTAAATATTAATAAACCGCTTGAATTCCTCACTTACCCAGTTAAAATAAAGCAAGTAAAAAATTTGAGGTCTGTAGTGATAAATGTCTATGTATTAAGCATAGAGTCACTGATGATTCTCTTATTGAAAGGAAGAAAAGTATAATCCTAGACCACAAAACCATTGCCAAAAAGTAAGAAAAGAATTTTATTATTGACACATACAGTTCAAACTGTAGAGACGTAATAATGTCTGGTTTAACATAGAACTTTTCGTAAACAGCCTATCTGCATTTACATGAATTTTACTTTAAGTTCTTTATTAAATTCTAAATGTACGTAAATCTATATTACTTCCATTTTATTTAATAGCCAATCACTTTGTCCAACAGAAATAACTATATTTCTTACTAAGATAAGATTATGTAATTAAATATGAATGTGTTTATTGATAACACATTGATTTATTTCACTGTGTTAGCCTTAAATTTAGAATCGCAGAATATTAGTGCTGTAGAAGACTAACAATGCTTATGAAAATCTCCCGCTTAAAATGAGGATGGATTGGAGTGGACCTTTTTGTTTGACCAATAGAAAAACAAGTAACAAGATAATAAGAGTCATTGTAGTTAAAGGGATAAACTTCCTGTTCCTCTTCTGCATACTTCTCTTTGCTTGCAATGTGTTATAACAAGGACCACCAGTGGAAAGAATCCATGCCTGGAGAAGAGAAACCTGGAAGGCAGTGAAACCATGTTAAAAGAAAATACACTAATGTCCAAAATTGGTTATGTATAATGAATGATGATTTAAATAAACAAGTAACAGATTTTCTCTATAAATTAAAAGAAAATTCTCTAGTTGCCCTGCAAGCTCAGTCTATCAACCTTCAATTCTAATTTTTGGGACAAAGAAGTGGAAGAGAAGATTTATTAAGTATATAATTGTTTCAAGTTATTTAGGACACTTTTTTTAAGAAAGCTTTTATTTGATGAATACAAATTTCATAGGTACAGCTTTAGGAATATAGCAGTTTTAATTTTAATCATCAGTTTAAGATAATGTGGTGGGAAAAGAGCTTATTTGGAGAGAGAGCCATCTTTCCTCGAGACTGCTGCCTTCTTAAAATAAACCTTTTCCTCTGGCCTGTACTCATCTCTGATGAATTGACTATGGACGTGGCAAGCTCCAAGAGCCGGATTATTTGTTCAGTAACAAAATTGGTGAGCTAGCCCAGGAGTCTGGGGTGTATTCTTCATGTGCTCTAATCCTCCCACATTAGCAAGGAGGGCAGTGACCACTGTACACCCACCCCAGAGCTGCTTGTGATGAGCTAAACCTGTGGCTGCTGAGAGTCCCTTCTCTTCCTGCTGTGGCATTAGCTACCTATAAGCACTTTGATGCCACAAGGAAATGGTATTTTATGGCAAGTCAGTAACTGCCATTTGTGTAAGGAGTCAGCAGCTCTGAGACTGGGTCCCCACAACCTAAGGGATGTCTCCCTCTCATCGTCTTCCTGAGAAATAGACTCAAGTATTCACTGACAAGAAAGGAGATAAAGAAGATATGTATTTAATGTGTGAACAGAATCAGCAGCAAGGTTCAAACTGATGTTGCATACATTGCTGGATGCATGAATGTGTGTGAAGTGGAACAAGCATAAGCATCATGAAGACAAAACTTTGTGCCTAGTGCCTGTCAGATTTCTACAGAAGTACAATTCCTAGTGAGGTAATGTTGGCTTGATGCTTGGAGATGATGGCTGTCACCTGCAGAAGGGATAAAGTTATTATTAGTTATTGACTCCAGCATGGGACCAGATGAGATCCAATAACGCAAAGGGTTGATCCTGGCAACAGGGAGCAAATAGAGCCTAGCTGCAAAGTGACTCATCAACAGTGTTTGCTAGAAAAAAGCAGAGTTACAGAGAGAGACACAGAAAAAGGCAGAGACATAGAGAAAGATCTTCCCATCTGCTGGCTCACTCCCCAAGGGCTTGCAACAGCTGTGGCTAGGCCAGGCTAAAGCCAGCATCCAAAACCTGCATTTGCATCTACCATGGATATGGAGGAGACTCAAATACTTGAACTATCATCTGCTGCCTCAGGATGCACATTAGCAGGAAAGTGGATCGCATGGAATAGTCAGACTCTAACAAGGACTACTCATGGAATCCACATTTCCAATTCTAGGGTGAGCAACACCTGCTGGAAGAGATGTGTGATGATTACCAGTATAGTAGCAGCCATTCCAAGAAAACATATAAGGACCAGCTACTCCATGATGCCGAACTAGTTCTTTGGTATTTTCAAGTTCATTTTCTATTTCAAGGAATATGGCTTTGTGACCTATTTATTTGTGGCATGATTGCCTGTGTGGTCTGAGATAGAGGGACAAAGTCTTGAAATTTTGAGAATGAGGTTCCCTTGTTTGCAGAATAAACTCACTGGAGGGCCATGGCAGGATCAGAGAAGAGTCAGGAATTTGAATAGGATAGAGATCTTAACTTAAGTAAAGAAACGAGGGATGGATTATGAGCCAGGTGTCAGTGAACCCATCACACCCCCCACTAAAGCTCACAACTCTGACCACGCAAGTTATGTCCATCCCCATTTTGAGAAGAGCAGCAATAGCAATGGAAGTGTCATATAACCCTTGTGTTGACCTCTTGCGTAACTCATGGCAGAAACCATCCAATAGAGGGATAAGTTCAAGCCAGCTCTCCAAACAATAAATGAAGATTTATTAGATATTTAGGTGGACAGATGGATTTCAAGAGTTCCTAGGTAAGTAATCACCAGGCATTGGGGAGTTTTGTATTTGCACAGTAAATTACAGATACTCACCTTTGGACTCACTATTTTATTCCAATATTCCAATATATGCACCAGAATTGTTTTCCAAACTGTGAAATATGATCCACATATTCACAGCAATAATTTTAGAAGATTAGAGCAAGTACCTCTTTAAAATGTATTAACTGTGTTGTCATAAAAACATAAGTTTCTTGTTTCAGTATTTTAAAGTAAAACAGCAGCATTGTGGCATGTCCCTTGCCTTAGGCAAGCATTTGTAATAAGAAGATGTGTGTAATAAGATGTGTTCTTCTAACTGCAATATGATTATCAAAACTAAATGTGAAAATAAAGGAGGTGATAATATCAAGAAAAAAAAAGAAGATAATATGGCATAATTGCCAAGACCTGCATTTTGCAATCAGTATTACAAACCATTTTGCACTGGATTTGCCTTATCTGAATTCAATATAAGTTTTATAGTTAATCTTCCTAAGTCACAAGTTTTAACTTTGTTTGCTATGATTAGTTACATAAAAATTAACTTGCATTTAGACTTAAACTTGTGACCCACAATCCTTTCCTAGTGACTTTATAGGATTATATACCTACATTTTTCAAGATTGTCTTAGGCCAACTTCTTTAACGTAAGCAAGGGGTTTGACTAAATCCACAAATTCATAAGTTTTCAGTATTTCCAGGTAGGACCAGCTATCCTCAAAGTTACATACCTCTAAAATATACTGCTAATATAGCAAAAAATTTAGTAGTGGAGACTCCGGAACCAGACTGCATTTGCTCAAATACTAGCCTCGATACTCATCCACTGTGTGTAACTCCTTGAAGAAGTTTCTTAATTTCTTCAGTTTCCATATGTGTAAAATGGAGAAAATATTGGGTCCAGCATTGTGGCACAGCATGTTAAGTCTGAAGTCTTGTCCTTCATATATTTCGAATAAATGCTATATTTAGAATTTGTTTTCATTTCCTCTAAACATGTTATGTTTCTTGAATACAGTTTTTTTTGTTTACATTAGCAGATCATAGGTCATTGTATTTATTTTACTTTTATTATTGGTTCTATTTTATGTCTCCATTTATTAATTATTTCCCCACACTTTTTTTTTTTTAAAGATTTTATTTATTTGAGAGGTAGAGTTACAGACAGTGAGAGGGAGAGACAGAGAAAGGTCTTCCATCCTTTGGTTCACTCCCCAAATGGCCACCAATGGCTGGTCGGAGTTGCACCGATCCAAAGCCAGGAGCCAGGAGCTACTTCCAGGTCTCCCCTGTGGGTGCAGGGGCCCATTGGCCTGGACCATATTCCACTGCTTTCCCAGGCCATAGCAGAGAGCTGGATCAGAAGTGGAGCAGCTGAAACTAGAACCCGTGCCCACATGGAATGCTGGTACTGCAGGTGGAAGATTAACCTGCTCCACATTGCCAGCCCCTCCCCTCACTTTTAATTTGTGTTATTAAATTCTTTTTAATACAGATAGTTTACAAAGAAACAAGTAAATAAAAATTTAAAACTGCCTTGAATGTTGCATCCCCCATACATTTTTCTCAGTTCTTCCCTTATTTCAAATGTCCTATATTGTTAGGAAATCTTCCTGGATAAGAAGTTCTTAGAGTGAACCTCCTTATAATCATCAAGCAAGTTTTTATCCACTTCAGCTTCATCATGTATTATATTACCTATCCTTTTTTAAGATTTATGTATTTGAAAGGTAAAACATCAGAAAAAGAGGGAGATAGAGTTAGAAAGAGTTCTCCTATTCACTGATTCATCCCAAACAGCTGCAATGGCCAGGGCTGGGCAGGCCAAAGCTAGGGGCCAGGATCTCCATCTGCCACACGGATGGCAGGGGTCCAAGCTCTTGGGCCAGTCCTCTGCTGCTTTTCCAGGTGCATTAGCAGGGAACTGGACAGGAAACATAGACAGGACTTAAACCTGTGCTCCTATATGGGATGCCAGTGTTCCAAGCAGCAGCTTAACATGCTGTGCCATAATGTCAGCCCCTATGTTACCTTTTTTACTTGATTATAAACTAAGAAAGCAAGAAGTTTTTATGTCACTATACGTTCATCAAATTCCTACCACCTAACAGATTGTGGAATACAAAAGACATTAAATAAGCCAAAAGAAATAGAGACCATACCAGAGAATTGTTACTCTGAGTATCTGTCTATTTATTCAGAGCTAGCATAGCATTTTTAGGATGAGCACCAATATTGTTCATAAGTCTCACCAATTTACATATATATTTGAAATATCTGTATGACAGATACAGAGCAGATCTGCTTTCATTTGTCCCAACAATCAGTCATTTTATACTTCCAAATGAAATATTCTTTGAACTTTTTGAATTTACTCATCATTCTATATATTATAGTAATATTTATGTGAGATTTTTATCACTATTTGTGTAAGGTTAAGTGTCGCTCCCCCTCTTCGTGGAGGAACGACACAGGACCCTGCGCTGTTCTTTCGTCTGCTCGGCCCTCCCCGGGTTTACTGCTGGTTCTTCCCGGGTTGGCTACTATCCCTTCCACCTCCGTGGAAGGTCAGTTCCCCCTGGCCACATTCCCCACTTCCGCAGGGGAGCGGCACACCGCCGGCCGGCTTTCTCGGGGGCTGCACAGGTGTTCCTTCAGCTAGATGTTCCCCATAGATGTTCCCTGGTGCATGCCGTCTCTCTCCTCCTTTATAGTCCTCCTCCGCCAATCCCAACTCGGCTGCCCACACGCCGAGTACGCTGCTCTCCTCCAATCAGGAGCAAGTCCTACAGTTTATTGGTTGAACTGGAGGCAGCTGCGTAGAAGCTGTTTCCTCCTCTCCCAGCGCCATATTGTGGGAGAGCAGATGCATAGAATAAGTCTTAATTCCAGTAACTCAGTCTAGTCCGGGTTGCTCCCCACAGTTAAGTATATAATTAATAGCCATTTTAATATATATGAATTGCATGATTAAAAAAACTTGGAAGCCACATTAGGTGTTTCAAATCTTACAGATTAAAAAGTTTAGATGGTTGTGTCAGGAACACTAATAAATGAGAATAAAATGTTGGAAGAATATTTAAGAATGTGGAATATAAATCTCCAGGTTGGAAGCCTTAAATGATGAATTGAGGAGTGAAAACTAGGACAAATGAAGTAGAAAGCAGAGAAGTAGATATGCTTAGGAAAATCAAATAGTGAAAAAAGTTTATATGTATTTTCTTTCCTTGACTCTCCTATTAGGAGCTCTTACTAAATGAGTATTTTTGCCCTTACTGAAGGTAATAATATAAGATTTCTTCCTGTTTTCTGGCTACAGAAACTTGGGAGGGAAGTTTCTCGTGTTTTATTGTTCTCTTACCCCTTGGAATTTGTTACTGCATTTGTGTATGCAGTCTGCAGCTGCTCACATTTGGTAAGTGTTAATCTGGCAAGTCAAAGGATGTTGATTTCTAGAAAGCATACTTGGAAGAGATTAAATGCACTGGTACAATATGTTTGGAACTAATGAAAATGTAATTATAATATTTCCTTATTTTTTCTTTATCTTATAAATAGGGAAAAATATTACAAAATAAATGAAATATAATTGAATTTAAATAAAATTACAAAGTAAATCATAAATAAAAAGTTAAAAACATACCCAAAAGTGATTATCTCCTAATATAAGTCCTCATCTAACCCATAAATCGAAATCTACACAAAAACAGATGCAATATGGACACAGATTTTTTACTAATTCCATAATAATACATTATATTATTTCTCATATTTCTGAAAGTATCTTAATATCTTCTGTTACAATATGGAAATATGGTGTTTTAATAGCTTATTTTTCTTGACACTTAGCATTCTTTAATTACTGTTAATTTTAGCTTTATTTCCAGGGTTTTTTTCCTAAATTATAAATAATCTAGGGAACATTCCAATAAAAATATTTTTGCTTACTAGAATACTAGTTCTTTAGGATTCAGGGTAAAGAGTTTCCAACCCATGAGCCATATGAGGCCCATGAAATCATTTGGCCTGGCCCTGCCAAGGCAGCCACATGTGGGACTTGAAATTCAGCAAATTTATATAGCAGGCTAATTCTTAAGTTAGTAAATTTGTATGGCCTACAAAATGATGTTATAAACATCTAGATGGCCCTTTGCAGAAAATTAAAAAAAACCTCCCCCGCTCCCACTTCAGATGGCTGATTCCTGGAAGTATAATTGCAGAGTCAATTTTAATAACGTCACAAAAGAGCTGTAAAAGTTTACAATAAGTGTTCATTTGAATAACATTAATTTGGCACAAGCTTATAACTGTATAGCTAACATTTTTTTTTCTCAAATATTTATGAGGGTTCTACTAGGCATTATAGTAGACAACAAGAACACTACCATCAGGGAGTTTGTAGTTTTAGTGGAAGAGAAAATAAATACAATGTAGGAAATGGAAATTTTTATGAAGTAAAATAAAACAAGTAGATAAGACAAAGATTATTTGAAATAGGATGGTCAAGGAAGAGCACTCTGAGCAGGAACTATAACTTGCAGACAATTATGAGATTATATGAAAAAATATTTTAAAAAATAGGAAATGAATGGGACATCCAGAATGGATGAGTAAGGACATGGTGAGTATACCTTAAGAGAAATGGTAAACTGGTTAAAATTATCAATAGGAAAACTTTAAGAATCTGGAAATTAACCAAATTAGTAAATGCTTAAGAAAGTCTAGTGGAACTCATTAGGAAAAGTGAAAATTTCTGAAATGTTAGTTTAGGGCTACTCTGGTTCCTTCAACCTCCCAAGTTCTATTATGCCACTTTGGTGCATTAGACTGTAAAGACAAACAGCCTCCCTGCTTGAGAGGACTAATTTTATTTGGAGTTCAACATAGAGATTTCCATGACAAGGATGCTAAGTATTTAAACAAATTTCATATAATTCATATATACAGATTTAGGAATATAGTGATATTTCATACCATAACCTCCCTCCAGCCCATGATCCCTCCTTTTTTCCTCCTTCCTCTCTTATTCCCTCTCAATTTTTACAATGATCTACTCTGTATCCTTTATATTCATGAGCATCCCAACACTATGTAAAGAGTTCCACAAACAGAAGAAAAAAACATTGTTCCTCAACAGAGACAAGGGCTGTAAATAATTGCTGAATCTCAAAAATATCAATTTCACTCCTATACATTTTTGACATTCTATTACCACAGATCGGGAAAACATATCTTAATTTCTCTTTTTGGGACTGGCTTATTTCACCAAGTATAATGGTTTCCAGTTGCATCCAATTTTTTTGCAAAAGGCAGGACTTCATTCTTTTTACAGCTGAGTAGTATTCCATATTATATATATGCCGCAATTTTTTTATCTAGTCATGGACATCTGGATTGATTCCATATCTTAGCTATTGTGAATTGGGCTGCAATAAACATGGGGGTAGAGATTACATTTTCATATGCTGATTTCAGTTCCTTTGGATAAATTCCCAAGAGTGGGATTGCTGGATCATATGATAGATCTATTTTCAGCTTTATGAGGTATCTCTATACTGTCTTCCTCAATGACTGCACCAGTTTACATTCCTACCAACAGTGGAATAAAGTACCTTTTTCCCCACATCCTCACCAGCGTCTATTGTTTGTTGATTTCTGTATGTTGTTGTTTATTGATTTCTATATGTTGATTTCTGGGGTGAGGTAAAACCTCATTGTGGTTTTGATTTGCATTTCCCTGTTGGCTAGTGATCCTAAGCATTCTTTCATGTGTCTGTTGGCCAGTTGAGTTTCCTCCTCAGAAAAATGGTGTTCTAGTCCATTACCCATTTCTTAACTTGATTGTTTTGTTGTTGAGATTCTTGAGCACTTTCTACATTCTGGATATTAATTCTCTATCAGTTTCACAGTTTGCAAATATTTTCTCTCATTCTGTCAGTTGCCTCTTCACTTAGCTGTTTCCTTTGCAAAGTAGAAGCGTCTCAGCTTCATTTAATTTCATGTATCTAGTTTTACTTTTATTCCTTATGCATATAGGGTCTTTCCAAGAAGTCTGCCTATGCCAATATCCTACAAAGTTCCCCTACTGTTCTCTTTTAGTAATTTGATGGTATTTAGTAATTTGATGCTCATAGATTTAGAACCTAAATCCATTTTTGGTATAAGATATAAGGTAGGGATCTTGTTTCATGCTTTTTTATGTTGAAATCCAATTTTCCCAGGACCATTTGTTGAAGAGACTCCTTGCTTCAGGGCTTGATTTTAACTCCTTTGTCAAAGATAAGTTGGTTGTAGATATGTGGATTGATTTCTGGAGTTTCTACTGAATTCCATTGGTATACATGTCTTTTTTTCTGCCAGTACCAGTCTGTTTTGATTATAACTGCCTTGTAGTATGTCTTAAAATCTGGTGTTGTGATGCTTCTGGCTATGTTCTTCTTGTATAAGATTTCTTTAGCTATTTGGGATGTCTTGTGTTTTCATATGAATTTTAGCATCATTTTCTAGATCTGTAAAGAATGTTGTTGGTATTTTGATTGGGAGCTCATTGAATTTGTAAATTGCTTTCAGCAGAATGGACATTTTGATATTAATTTTTCCAATCCACAATCAGGAAAGATTTTTCCATTTTTCTGTGTATTCCATTTCTTTAACTTTTTGAAATTTTCATTATGGAGCTCTTTAACATCCTTCCTTAAATGTGTTCTAAATTATTTAATTTTTTTCTGTAGCTATTTTGCATGAGATTAGTATTAGAAGTTGTTTCTCAGCATAGTATCATCTGTGTATACAAAGGCTGTTAATTTTTGTATGTTAACTTTATATCCTGAAACTTTACCAAACTCTTTTAGGAGTTCCAATAGTCTCTTAGTAGAGTCCTTTGGTTCCCCTTTTTATAGAATCATGTCATCTGCAAATAGGGATAATTTGACTTCCTTCTGTCTAATTTGTATCCCTTTGATTTCTTTTTCTTGCCCAGTAGCTCTAGCTAAAACTTGGAGGACTATTTTGAATGGAAGCGATGAAAGTGGATATCTTTGTCTGGTTCTGGATCTTAGTGTAAAGGCTTCCACCTTTTCCCCATTCGATAAGATGCTGGCTGTGGGTATGTTATAAAATGCCTTGATTGTGTTGAGGAATGTTCCTTCTACTCCCAAATTGCTAAAGGTTTTTTCATGAAATTTTATCAAATGGATTCCTGCATCTATTGAGATAATCATATGGTTTTTATTCTCCATTGTGTTAATGTAATATATTACACTAATTGATTTGCATATGTTGAACTATCCCTGCATACTGGAGATAAATTCAACTTGATCTGGTGAATGATATTTCTGATGTGTTGTTGGATTTGATTATGTAATATTTTGTTGAGGATTTTTACAACTGTGTTCATCAGGGATATTGGTCTATAGTTCTTTTTGTTGTATCGTTTCTGGTTTACGAATTAAGGTGCCACTGGCTACGTAGAATGAGTTTGTGAGAATTCCCTTCATTTTTAATCATTTTGAATAGCTTGAGAAGAATTGGAATTAGTCCTTCTTTAAGTGTCTGGTAGAATTCAGCATTGAAGCAATCTAGTACTGGGCTTTTCTTTGTTGTGAGGGTCTTTTTTACTTATTCAGTCTCCATCTTAGTTATTCATCTGTTTAGGTTTTCAATTTTGGTAGATTTTAATTGTCCAGCATTCTTTCCATTTCTAGATTTATTGATTTGTTGCCATAAAGCTTGTAGAAATTCCTGTTGGTTCTCTTTATTTCTGTGGTATCCGTTGTTACATATCCTTTTTCATCTTTGGTTTTCTTTTTTTTTAAGACTTATTTATTTATTTGAATGTCACAGTTACAGAGAAGCAGAGGCAGAGATAAAGAGAGAGGTCTTCCATCCACTGGTTCACTCCTTGTGTGGCGGAAACAGCTGGAACTGTGCCAATCCAGAACCAGGAGCTTTTTCTGGGTCTCCCACACGGTGCAGGGGCCCAAGTTCTTGACCATCTTCTGCTGCTTTCCCAGGCTATAGCAGAGAGCTGGATTGGAAGTGGAGGAGCCAGGACTCAAACAGACACCCATAAGGGATGCCGTCACTGCAGATGGTGACTTTACCTGCTATGGCAGAGTGCCAGCCCTCTGATTTCCTGGATTTGGGTCTTATCCCTCTTTAAAAAAAAAAAAGATTTATTTATTTAATTGAAAGAGTTACACAGAGAGAGGAGAGGCAGAGAGAGAGAGAGGTCTTCCATCTGCTAGTTTACTCCCCAGTTGGCTGCAACTGCCGGAACTGCACCGATCCGAAGCCAGGAGCTTCTTCCAGGCTTCCCATGTGGGTGCAGGGGCCCAAGGACTTGGGCCATCTTCTGCTGCTTTCCCAGGCCATAGCAGAGAGCTGGATCAGAAGTGGAGCAGCTGGGATTAGAACCGGTGCCCATATGGGATGCCAGCACTTCAGGCCAGGGCGTTAACCCACTGTGCCACAGTGCCGGCCCTTGGTCTTATCCCTCCTTATTTAGTTAGTTGTGCCAATAGTGTACCAATTCTGTTTATTTAAAAAAATGCTCTTATTTCACTGATCCTTTGTAATTTTTTGGCTTAAATTTTGTTCTTTTCTCTCTTTCATTATTTCCTCCTACTAATTTGGGATTTGGTTTGTTGTTTTTCTAGGTCCTTGAGATGCACTGATAGCTCATTTCTTTGATGGCTTTCCAATTTTTTGATCTAGGCACCAATTGCTATCAACTTCACTCTTAGCCTTGTGACTTTTGACTCCTTTAAGAGTTTTTGTGTAAAGTCTATTTTTGTCTGATTTTAGGATGGCTACACCTGCTCTTTTTTGTTTTCCATTATTGTGGAATATCTTTTTCTATCCTTTCAGTCTGCATGTATCTTTGTTGATGAGGTGTGTTTTTTGTAGGCAGTAAATAGATGGGTCTTACTTTTTAATCCATGCAGTCAGTCTGTATCTTATAACTGGAGTGTTGAGGCCATTAACATTCAAGATGACTCTTGATAAATAACAACATGGCCTTGAAAACTTTCCATAAATATTCCTATTGTTTACTTTGTATTTCTTTTGTACTTTTACCGGGAGATTTTCTGCCTTCACATTTGTTCATTTGTCTTTCTGTGTGTAGCACATCCTTAAGCATCTTTTGTAAGGCTGGACAAGTGGTGACAACTTCTTCCAATTTCTATTTGTTTCAAAACCTTCATTCATAAATTAGAGCTCTGCATGGTACAATATTCTGGGTTAACAGGTTTTTTTTTTTTTTCCTTTTAAGATTTGGACTATGTCTCTCCATTTTCTCCTAGCCTGAAGAGTTTCTGATAAGAAGTCAGTTGTGAGTCTAATTGGAGATACTCTGAAAGTAATCTGGTCTTTCTCTTGTGCACATTTTAGAAACTTTTCTTTATGTTTTGCTGTGGAAAGTTTGACCAGAATGTGTTGTGGTGAAGATCTTTTCTGGTCATGTCTATTTGAAGTTCCTGTGTGCTTCCTGTACTCGGACAGCCCTTTCTCTAAATTTGAAAGTTTTCTATAATTATTTCACTAGATAGGTCTTCTAATCCATTCTTTCTTTCCACATCTTCAAAACTCCTAAGACCTAAGTTGGATCTTTTGATAGTATCCCTTAAATTTCCAACACTGTTTTTAATTTTTATAATTTCTTCTTTTATTTTTTGGTTGGATTGAAAAATTTCCAAAGATTTGTCTTCTAGCTCAGATATTCTTTCTTCTACCTCACCAAGTTTGTTGTTGAAGTTTCCACTGCATTTTTTATTTGATCTATTGAATTCTTCATTTCTAATATTTCATTTTTGATTTCTTTAAAATCTCAATTTCATGAGAAATATATTCATGTCATGTATAGATTTCTTTAATTTGTGGATTTGATTCTGATTGCTTTTGAGTAATCCTATGATTAATCTTTTGAATTCCATTTTCAGTATTTAATTGTCTTTCATATTCTAACATTGAAATGTTGTATTTCTTTGATTGGGTCGTGTTGTCTTCCTTATTCTTGTTTCTTGAATTTCTGCATTTATTTTTAGGCATTTGTGGAGATACTTGGATTTTTTTTCCTCTGATGTCTTATATCTTTGATTTATGCCTCTGTGGCTTGGTGGAATGTCTGCTCTTTCAGTGAATATCCAGAGGTGTGTGCTGAGTGTGGCCAGAGAGCTCTGGTCAGTGATCCAGTGTGGGCTGAATATCCAGAGTGACACTCAAACTGGATGTGATGAATTTTCTCTTCTTAACAAAAGACTAGGGGTGGAATGGTCACTTCTGCTTATGTGATCACACCCTAACCTCCTCTCTTCCAAGGTGATTAACACCCAGGTACTAGCCCTCAGTGGGTGTAACATTCATGATTCCATATGAACTGCACAAAGGATCTGTGCAGCCCTCAGTGTTGGCTTGGATCCCACCATGGTAACCCACCCAGGCATTCAGGGAGCTCTGAGCATGTGGAACCTCTTACAGTGATTGCCCAGAGACTCAGCTATAGCCTGAATCCCATCATGCCATCACAGTGTTCCCTCAGTCTCAACGTCTTGGGTACAGAGGATCCACTCCGCCGCACTTGACTATGCCATCCACAGAGAGGCTGAGAGGTTTCCAGAGGCTGCTGCCTGTGGGTGCTCTGTCTAGGCAGATTGAGCCCCGGATCCTCAGAGCCTGTGGTATACTGAGAGGCTGGAGGCACATCACATTTCACAGTGTATGGATGCATACAAGGGTCTTGGCAGGCAGTACTAATGCCAGACTTGCTCCTTCTCCCAGCCTGTTGCCAGGTGTGTGCAGTGGAACCACTGCATCCCATCTCTGCTGACAAGATGGAATTTTTGCTGCAAGTTGCTGTGTGCACACACGACCCACAGCAGCTACTACCTACTTATGTCCAGAATGGCACCTGCTCTCAGCCAGTTGCAGGTGCCATTGTGGCAGAGAGTGGGGGAGAGAAATGTGCCCCTTTTCTTTTTGTCTGGGTGAGTAGGTACCTTGTTCCCCTCAGGGCTATAGGCCAGTCTCAAAGACAATGTAGACTAGTCTCTTCCTATAGCTATATCACCCGTGACAAGAGCCACTGCAGTCTGATCTTCCCTTGCTCTCCAAAGCTGGTGCTTTCTCTGGCTCAGGGCTACTGGGGTCATTTGTTATGTCTGTTCTGTTGCTGCACAGCCGCACCTTCCACACAGATCCATGGCCTCTCTCCTCTGTCTGCAGAATCTCCACTGCAGTTTTCCCTCCAACTCTCTCCTGAGAATGCACTTTCTCCACTTTTTAAATTTATTTATTTATTTACTATTCTCATGTAGCCTAGAACAGACTACATGAAATAGTAGTCTAACCTGTCGCTAATCTGCCGTCTTGGACTCCTCCGTGCATGTATCATATTTGCCAATCCCTTCTCAATAGATACATGTTTCCTTTTTCTCTTAAATTTTAAAAGATAAAATTACAAAGGCAATTATTGTGACACTGTTTTGTTGAATATATAACACAGATGTATATCGTGTTGGGGGGGTATTAGCAAAAAAAGGAGTGAGGAGAGAAACTTATGGGAATAAACTTGCTATATTTTTCCTGGAAGTGGCATCCATCTAAAACAGATTTTGATGAATTAAGAAGCATATTTGATGAGTAAGAGAACTCAGATGTAAAAATTAAAGAAATTGACACAAGGTATCTATTCTAAAAAGGCAAAAGAGGAACGTGAAACATAGAAAATACATAGTAAAATCTTGACATAATTCCAACTATTTCAGTAATATTAAAGCAAAAATTATAGTGAAGGGTAGGCATTTGATGCAGTGTTTAAGAAAACACTTGGGACACCCACGTCCCATATTGGAGTACTTGAGCTCAAATACTTGGGTCCCTGTCACTAGTGGGAGGCCCAGATTGAATTTGAGGCTCCTGGCCTTGATCTGGCCCAGCCCCTGCTATTGTGAGTATTTGAGAAATTAACAGCAGATGGACAATCTTGTTTCAATGCCTTTAATGTTTAAGTAATCTAAAACCTATAGTGAGATATTAAGTGCCAAACAGTATAAATAAATTTCAAAATATTGACAATTCCAAGTGATGGTAAAGACTACAGACAAAAACAAAACTCTGTCCCAGTTGGAACATAAATTATTGCAAAAACTTTAAAAACTTTTTGATCATTTATCTAATAAAAGTTAGGGTGTGTATATGCTATGATTGGTGTATATCTAGCAGCAATGTTTGCAATAAGATAACTAAGAATTTAGAGGTATATTGCACTATTATTCATAATAGTTCCAGAATGGAAAGAACACAAGTAGTTGAGTGAATAAATTGGGTATATTCCTCTGAAAAAATTCTATATGACAATTAAAAGAAACTATTCCACCCAAACCATGAATTAATCTTGAAACTAGAGTATAAGAAGGCTTAATGCATAATTTTTATTCCATTTGTATAAACTTTAAAACCAGGCAAAATAAAACTAATCTATTGTGTTTAGGAAATGCAGTCTTAGTTGCTAAAAGTAGGAAGAAAAATAATTGATTACCTAAAAGTCAAAATGACACCTTGGAGAAAATGAAGGGATTATTTCTAAATGTCTGAAGTGGGTAGAGTACTTGAGCTGCAGGCTTTAGTTTATGTTAAGAATACCATGAATATTTTTACTATAAAAAAGTTATACATGATCCAATTGGACTTAAAGTATGTTTAAGTGGAAATGGAACAGAAATAGATAAATGGCACTTTAAGATCGTACTGTATGAACATCAGTATTGCTAGTATATTTACAAAGTAACTATTACATGATTTTAGGAAATAAGATATGATTTGTAAGAGTTTAATTTTTTTCCAGAGTCAGAAACGAGAAGAACATCCTACGCCTGTTACAGAGGAAGTTGAGAGCACTTTTTAAAGACCTTAAAAATGCAAGATTTTGGCTGGTGCTGATACCTGCTGTGGACACTAATGATACTTCAGTATAAAAAAGCTGTCACAAAGCCCACAGGCTTTGTGCAAAATAAAATAACAAAATAAGTCAGTCTTTTCTCCTCAATAGTCAAGAAATTTCTCTTCACATACTTTTCTAGACTCCAGGGGGAAACTTCGACCCTATTTAATTGCAAGGTTATTGCAGGAAGGAATTTGTTATAGGTACACTGAATAGCTGTCAACTCTCCATAAAAGAGCTTATTCATAAAAGACTACAACTTTTTTTGTTTACTATCTCTGGAGTGCATACTACATACAAAGACTTGGAATATGATGATATATAATTAACAGGACAATTTTAAATAATGTATGTCCTTATAAATTAAAAAGCTCATTTGACAATTTCAGTTCTTCTACCTCAATTAGCAACTGCCCTAAAGAACAAATCAAAAGACTCCAAATCAGATTTTCTTCATTTAGTTTCCTTTCTTCCCTGAAGTATCTGCTGTCTTTCTTCTCCTTTCATCCACTTGCTTCTTGGCATCTGTTTAACTGCTTTTCAAAGAAAAGATGGCTTTCCATAAAAATAATTTTTCCATGAGTATGTTCTGAGTTCAGTTCACTCTGTCTTTTAGAAATCTTCAGAAAACTTTACTCAGGAATATGCGTCATGCAGATGAGTATATGTAACTCTGTTTTAAATGTTTTGTTTTTTTTTCTGCCTTATCTCAAGGTGTTTTTTTATCAGTTGTTACCTGATACTGGCAGGATTTCTTGATTCTAAGAATTCAGTACATAGCTCTTTTCTTTCAGAATATCATTGTGTAACAATGAAGGCATTTGTAAGTCACCTAATAACAAGAACTTTTATTTTAGGGGAGGAAAAATACAGCACACAATCAAAACTAATGTATGGTATATAAATTAAGAAGGGTATGGAAAAAGTAGGACAGGAGAGATAATATTTCTATTGAGGAAATAAAAGCCTTATGAGAACTTTAATAGTTTACCAGCAAACTGAAATATGGGAGACATTTCAAGTAGAAAAATTAGCTTATCAGAAATGTGAGAATGGGAAGACAGAGCAATATGTCAGAATAGGCCCCTCCAATGATCATTCCTATGCAGAAATGTTAACTTGAACAACTATCCATACACAAAAATACAGCATGGCAACTATAATTAATAACATTGTATACTTGAAATTTCCAGAGAGTAGATCTTATATATTCTCACCATGCACACCATAAAAGTAACTACAATGAGGTGATATGTTAATACATACTAGCAATCATTTCACAATATATACATCAAAGCACCACATAATACAACTTTATACAAATTTTATCAAATCTCAGTGAAGCCAAGAAAGGGGAAGAAAATTAGCACAGGATCGGCTGACTGGGGGTTGGGTTTGGATACAGGAACAATAAGAATTGTGGCTATGTTTTCAGTTCATTACAGTCTGCCATATGTTCAAAAATTTTCACATCTCTTCTACAAAGCACAGTGAACCTCACTCTAGAACACCAAAAAATTTCATTCAACTCTGCTAATGTTCCAGGATCTCATCCCTAAATCAGGTATCAAGATAGATGACCATGGGTAGAGATGAACTATAACACAGATTATCCTCACCCACACATCTGACTTACAATGGTGATGCAGGAACAGAAAAATCACAAGAATCATTACCCAACCGGTGAGGAAGCCACAAGGTTTCTGAGCCCATTGTTCTATATTTCCTAGAGTTCAGGCTCCCACAGAAAGGAGAATCCACTTTGCTCAGTGGCTCTTGGCTCCTACCTGTGAGATCTTCTGAGAACCCGCTTCCCTAAAACAATCAGTATTTTAGCAGAGTAGAGTCTCAGCTTTCTTCCTGAGACCAAGAAACCTTTTTGTCAGTTTGAGAAATTTTGGTCCTGTTTTGCCCAAACTGAATGTCCCTTAGTATTACAATTACCTAAACACTTTTTTTTTGACAGGCAGAGTTAGAGAGACAGAGAGAAAGGTCCTCCTTCCATTGGTTCACCCCCCAAATGGCCGCCAAGGCCGGCACACTGTGCCGATCTGAAACCAGGAGCCATATGCTTCCTCGTGGTCTCCCAGGCAAGTGCAGGGCCACCTAAACACTTTTATGGGTATTTTAACAGATTGTAAGGCAATTCTGTGAGGCAAAATTCACAATTTTAAGACATGCCTAATTGTAAACATATTTAGCTTTAGACCTCTGAGAAACCATATCCCAAGAGAGTTGATAAGCTACTTTGTAAACTGCCTCTTAGTTATGCTTACTCATCAATTGTCAGTGAAGGCTTAGAATGTGAAATAAATGTCGGTTAAAAATGAAAAGCTATGAGGCCGGCGCTGCGGCTCACTAGGCTAATCCTCCGCCTATGGTGCCGGCACTCTGGGTTCTATACCCGGTTGCTCCTCTTCCAGTCCAGCTCTCTGCTGTGGCCCGGGAAGGCAGTGGAGGATGGCCCAAGTGTTTGGGCCCTGTACCTGCATGGAAGATCAGGAGGAAGCACCTGGCTCCTGGCTTTGGATCGGCATAGCACACCAGCCGTAGCAGCCATTTGGGGGGTTAACCAATGGAAGGAAGACCTTTCTCTCTGTCTCTCTCACTATCTAACTCTGACTGTCAAAAAAAAAAAAAAAAAGAAAAGCTATGAACTATCTTTAAAATTAATTTTGTGAGGCTTTATACATAAATTACATAATGTCATGTCATAAAAATCAAGAGATGTTAATTCTAAGTATTTTAGGGTTCATGCATTCTCCAAGATATAAATATTTATATATAGAATTAAAGTACAGTAAAGATGCGGTGCATGTCAATATTTTAAGACACACTTTTAACACTTAAGAGGTTAAAAATAAATCTACAACTAACAAGTTAATATAGGAAGAGAAACAATTTATTTTTAAGTATCTGATTACTTGTAAAGAATGAGAGTGGATTAAGGCAACAATAACCAGGATGACAGCAGATTTAAGGCTAAACATATCAGAATTGATGACTGCTATTAAGAGAGAAATAAATGTAACAAGTGTATACAACACTATAAAGCCATAGAACTACACTGAGTACAGTAAAAGATTATCAAAGTAAATGAAGAGATACACTTTTTTTTAATGTTTACATCTTGAATTTATTTGCCATTGGCATTAGCTATACATTTTCTTTTTTTTTAACTTTTATTTAATGAATATAAATTTCCAAAGTACAGCTTATGGATTACAATGTAATCCAGAGATACACTTTTTAATTAAAAAGCCTCAGTATTCAAAGGTGTCTGTTCTCTAATTTTCTACAACCGTAATGGAATCTCAATAAAAATCACAGCTTAATATTTATGTACATTGGTAAGTTCATTTTAAAATGTATACAGAAATGCAAGGGGCCAAATTTTTTGAAGAACTTTCTTGTTGGAAGAACTTAAATAATTTTTAAAAATTTGGTATCAAAATTTACTATAGGGGTGGATTTTGTAGTGCAGTAGATTATGTTGCTGCTTGGGATGCCTGCATCCCACATCCAAGTACCTATTCAAATCCTGGCTGCTACTTCTTTCTGATCCAGTTTTCTGTTAATGCACCTGGAGGGCCACAAATGGTGACCCAGGTTCAAGTAAGTAACTCAAAGAATAGGTCATGATTCAATTCCTTTCTCCCCAGATGCCACTTACACTCTTTATAAATTCTCTCACCTTCTCTTCAACAACCACCCCTATACACCAACAAGTCCCAGAGGAGCCATCCTTCATCAAGTACCCAACCCACAGTCCCCAATAAAATTGTATTACATTTTTTGTTTGCACATTAGGCTCCAGTCATATTAAATTTATATGGCTACCTATGTGGCCAGGGAAGAATCCAAAGATGTTTTCCAAAATAGCACTCAATATCCACTTAACGGAATTTGTAAACAGCTCACTATGCTGAAGGATTTTCAGTTCTGAAATGAATGAAAAAAGTAGATGAGTGCTACTCATACACATAGTTTTTAACATCTGGTGAAGTTTACCTTCCTGCTAATCTAACCTTACCAGATATGTTTAAAAGTAAAGGTTTACTCAAAATGATTTCATATTGCAAAAGCAACTTGACCTGATCTGATCAAGATCAGGTTTATTTATAGATTGGCAAGTAGCTTGGTGAGGATGAAATATCACAGGGTCTATAGCAAGTAGCTAGGAAGTAAGGCTATACAGGTAGATAAAGGAAAATAATGACATTACTTGAATGACATGCTTGCTAAGGCATAGGAATTTCAGCCTGCTAAGTTATGGAGTACTGTGGGAGCATAATACCTAGAATCATTCAATATTGGGTTCCTGTGGCAAGAATGTGGAGAATCAAACTAAGGAGGTTTATAACAAAAGCAGGTATCTATGTTGGCTGATTACTGCAGTTTTCTTGAGAGATGATGCATATTCAACTAGAATAGTAGAAGACAGAGACAAATAGGCAGAAATTGACTTGTATAACAGAGATAAAAGGATTTGAATATTGGTTATATTTGGAAGTGAATCTAGCACTCTGATTTGGCAGTTAGCTAGATGATGATGCTATTAATTGGAGTGAAGGAAAAACTTTATGGCCAAATGACATGTTCATGTTGTGTGTGTGTGTGTGTGTGTGTTTTTAACCTAAGGTGCTTTTGGATAACCTGTGTAGAAACACAGGAAATTGGAAACATGAGATGAGGAATTCAGTAGAGTCTTTTTAAAAATGAATATTTAGTTTGAAAGATTTATAGAGAGAGCACTGGAGGGAAGGTGGGAGGAGGAGGAGAGAGTGAATTTTCCATCTGCTGGTTTACTCCCCAGATTGGCCAGCATTGGGCCAGACTGAAGCCAGGAGCCAGGAGCTTCATCTGGGTCTCCTGTATGAGTGGCAGGGGCCCAAGCACTTAGGGCATCTGCTGCTTTTCCCAGGCCATTAGCAGGAAGCCAAGACTTGAACTGGCACCCTTATGGGATGTACTTGCTGCAGGCAACAGCTTTACCTCTATACCACAACGCCAGCCCCTCAGAAAATTCCAAGGTGGGCATTCAGCTTCTGAAGTTATATATAAGATTGTATTGCTTGTTATATACACAAATGGCATTGCCCATGGAGAAAGCCCAGAGCAAGAAATATATCCACAAGAAGCAAGATGTAAAACTAGAAAGTGGCAGCCACATGGTATCTTCGAGATTTTAAGCCACAGTTAAAGGCCCTCAAAATTGGAGTTTAAAAAATTGCAGTAAGCCAAAGGTACAAAACCCTTAAAGTTTATAAATTAAATTGTTTAGTCCAAGAGTCTAATTGTGACTTCTGAAGAGAGTGGAAATAGAAGGGACGTTAGAGAAGAATATCATTTAATAACAAAATATAAGGCCATGTAAAGGAGTCTATTAACAAAAGTGGCCTAAAGATATACAGAGAACTAAAGAGAGTCAAATGTTGAAAAAAGAGACAGATGGTGGTGAAAATAACAAGCTGTTTTCACAATTACGTATATTAACTTAATCATTTGTTTCCAGTTACTGTAATTTACAACTCTTAAACTTTCAATACTACTCAATCACATTGCTACTATTTTGATAAAAATATATTTATCAAATATATATTCATATATATAATATATAATCAATCTTTGTTCCTTGTATTCAGTTATCATATATCTGGGCATCTACCCTTGTTCAGGCCCTGGGTGTAAACATGATGGATGATATTCCTACTCTAATGGAAATAGAAGATATAGATGATGCATAAATTTAAAATTATTAAAAGAAATTTAGGAAATACATAATAGAAAATGTTTTATAGGAAATAAGCAGGTGGTAAGAGCCTAAGGGGTGGGATAGATAGTTGTCACTATTTTTGATGGGAAATAAATGCCTTTCTACAAAGTTGACATTCAGACTAAAAATGAAAAAGAAGTAGAGACAGAATTTTGAGTCAGAACACAAGTGCTTCAGGCAGAGAAAAGAACAACATCCTGAACTAAGACAGGGCTTTGTTATTTGGAAGACGGAATGGCTCTAGAACTCACTGATCAAAAATGAAGATGACTTAAAAACAAAAAAAAAAATGATTAAAGTTGAAGTTTGAAAGGCACCCCAAAACTCATTTAGTGCCGCCTTGGCTTTGTTAAATTGTTAGGATTGTATTGTAAATGTAGAAAAAGAATATTAAGATGTGAACACTTGAAAGAAGGAAGAAGTTTATAAGATAGTGAAAGGTGTAGAAGAGCACTGTACAATGAAATATAATATGAATCATGTATGGAATTTATGTTTTCCTAGTAACCACATTAAGAAAATAGAAACAAATGAACTTTTTATCTTATTAACCTAATATACTAAAACATGTAAAACCAAAAAATATAAAACCTAAATGTATAAAACCTAAACACTGAAGATGAAAATTATTAGATATTTTACATTCTTTTTTTGTCATATCAAGTCTTCAAAATTTGGTATGTTTTGTCACTCAAAACACATGTCCAGACCCGCATTGTGATGCGATGGGTTAAGCCACTGCTGGTGATGTTGACATCTCACGTCAGAGTGCTGGTTTGAGTCCCAGCTATGTCACTTCCAACCCAGCGCTCTACTAATGAGTCTGGGAGGGCAGCAATAAATGGCCTCAGTACTTGGAAGCCCCTGCCACCCATGTAGGAGATCCAGCTGGAGTCCCTGGCTCCTGCCTTCAGTCTGCCCAGACCTGACTACTGTGGCCATTTAGGGAGTGAACCAGCAATGGAAAAATTTGTCTCTCCCTCTTTCTCTGTCTCTCTGCCTTTCAAATAAATAAATTCTAAAAAAAAAAATCTACATGTCAATTCAGACTAACTACACTTAACATGCTCAGAAGTCACATGTGGCTGGCTACTAGGTATTGCATTGGATACTGTGGGTCTTAAAATCATTCCTTTAGTTAGCCATCAATGCGAATCACTTGCAAATTGGAACTCAATATAAACTGAAGAAGTTTGAATAGATGACCTTTGATTCATTTATTCATTACTGTGCCAGACTCAGCACCCTTTCACTCAGTTTTAAATGATTTTAAAAATTCTACATGGTCCCTGGCCTCATGGAGATGACCTTCAACTCTATCAGTTGCTGAGTCCTGATTATAGCATTAGATTTTAAATTTGTATGAATATGACCCAGTTGTAGCTTTCAAGGGTAGTTACTGTGTTAACTTAGGAAGTACACAGAATATATATTGTCTCAATTGTACAGAAAAGCAATCTAACAGGGAAGACCAATATTTTACCCAGACATGCATCCAGGGAGTAAAAGAGCATTAGGGCCCTGGTTTGTTGACCAGTGCTCTTTCCTCTTGACGGTAGAGAGATTTTTGCTGATACCAACCTCGTGGGAAAGTGAAGAGGGTGTTTACTTGATGCAGAAGTCTAAAGCAGCAGCCAGGACATTAGCCTGCAGTTAGGCAGGAAAGCGTTTGCTTGTGTTACCTCTCTCCCCTGTGGCCCAAACCTCTCCCTCCCTTACTTCAACATTATCCCCTACCATTTCTAGAGAGCTAACAGGCTCAGCAGAAGTTCGAAGACCCACCCCACTGCGCTAGTGTCTGCGCGCGGGTCTCCTCGTGCAGCGCCCTCTGTAGCCCGTGCTGTTGGCTACAACCGCGGGCGTTGGAACCGTGGAGGGGGAATGAAAGTCACCATCAAGGAAGCGGCGCCCACCAGGAAATTGTTGCCTCCCTGGACACAGGCACTGGACCTAAGGGCGTCACCTACAGGATCACTGCTCTCTGGCCCGGTGATCAAGTCGGAGTAGGGATCCATGGCCCTGTGCCAACACTACTTCCTGTTGAGTTTCAATTCTGTACCGGTTTCTCTTGTTTGTTCCCCAGTACAATCTCTTTTTTGCTGCCAAGAAAAGAAGCTTTGAGAGAGTCAGTGTTATGGACTAGATCATAAAGTAACTGGTAAGATCTGATCTCAAGTTTGATTCTTTCCACTATACCTTTCTATTATTTTCTCAGTTTTATGATGAAGTGGATGGTTTCAAGACTCCCTTAGGCCTTAAAAGTCCACGGTTTTACATTAATGGAAGGAAGTTCATAGATGGAAAGTTTGTAAACAAGAACATAAATGACTTCAAATACAGTCTGAGGTAAGAAATTGAAGAAAAAAGAGCCATCAGACATTGGAGACTGGAAAAATAGATGATCAAAACCATGTGAGAAAGATTAAAAAAGGAGGTTTAAACAAAATTGTTTCAAGAGAGATAAATTATCCCTTATAAGTTTTAGCAACATTCACATATTTCGTGTTAACGAGCAGGTATATTTATATGATGTAAGTGTAAGGAATCAGCCAGATTTCCAAAAGAACTTCTACCTAAAAAATTGAAAGCCTTCAGAAACTTGGAGGTTCCCCTTCTTCGTCTATGCTGGTCTCTGAATATCCCCTATATTCTCAAGCACAAAAGATCCTTTCTCTGCAACTCTGTCCCTTAGGGTACAGCATGACAGTGCCATAGCTCCTAAGTTTTTATGTCTCATCAAGAGACAAGTCCTGAAGGTCTTGGAAAGAGTAGACCATGATCCTAGCTTGAGTTTAGCTGCTCACCTTTCACAATCAGCTGGGATCAAGCAGTAATTCTCGTGAATATTAAGTGTAGAAGATTATTGTAAAATTATACAGATAAAAAAAGGTGGTCACAATTTTAATAACTAGCTGTAACTTGTAATTTTCTTACCTATTGGACACCCTTCCTATTTGGCCACTACCTTGTAAAGTCTCCCTTTCTAAAGGATAATGTATAACACTTTGTTTTCCAATCTTCCCTTCAGCTGATGTAGACAGGTGACAAGGTGTCCTTCCAGTCAGGCACCCCTGAACCAGACTTTAATTTGGGAAAATAATACAATGATGAAGAAAATAAACTATGTCAACAGTCCAGTTTTTCTGATTCTATGAATGTGGGGATATGGGTAATTTCTAGAGGGACTGATGTAATTGGGATAGCTACCATATGCCATTAACTTCTGAATAATTTAAGAATAGTAAACAAACAAAACTATCTGATGGTAACTATTGGATTTGTCAAAATAATATCAGCAGCTTCATGCAAAAACATCTTTTAGGGGACTATAAAGTAGTGGAAAATGGGTAGCTGCAGGATTATATTTGCCTCTCAAGTTTAAGTATCTATCCAAGAAAATAATACTGATTTACTTCTATATTTTCCTACACAAAAGAAATACATTTATCATCTTATTTCTCTATAATATTATAGTGAGAAATGCCACGAGGCAGAAGCCAAAACCAAAGCTCTGTGGTGTTGCTTAAGGAGGAAACAAGAATGTTGGGGGTAAGAACTACATGCTGCTTGAATGAATAATGTTGAAGTTGCTAAATATGAAAGGGAGGATGCTCTATTATGAACACCTCTATTGTGAACTCCCCATATGGAGGAGAATCAATCAAATGCTCTGAAATGGTTATGTATCATCTGCAGTTTCTATATGCACATAAACTGTGTATCATAATTAGAAATTATGAATTTCTCAGCCCCACTTAAATGACCCAGCACCATCACAGCCTACTCATAATCTCAGAAAATATCCTCTGAGTCAGGAAACAAACAGAAAAATATCTTTGACATCTATAAATTATTTCAATGTAAGCTGATAACATGATCCTAAATGAGAGAGATTGTGGGAGCTACATTCAGAAGAAGTTGTAGAACATAGAGCTTTGTGGACAGTGATCAAGACAGGACTATGCTTTCAACACCATTTCTCAGACATGCCTGTTTTATCAGCCAACCCCATCAAATATGCAGGTTTCCACTCATTTTGTTGCATTATGCTCCCATATTGTTGGGTGATGTTGCCAGATTATTAGGAGCCACACCAGCAGGATCAAAGCTCAGTTAAGGAAAATTCTCAACATTTCAGGTGAATTATTTCTCTAACTTATTTAATATTTACCTAATCATCTGCCATGATTGTAATAAGAGACTTACATAAATCAAACAATGAACCCAGTAAATCCTCTCCTAATTCTCAATGTTATAATATTAAAGATCTGAATTCCTAAGACCTTTATTCACCTATCTGGTTGGGGTACTGGGGACGAATAATGTCTGAGAGTAAGTAGATATATTATCAGCCACCATGACTGTCCTCCTAATGATATCTAATATTATGCAAATTGATACTGGGTTTGAGCATCATACAATAAAACTCCACCTGGACAAGATGAATAAATATACTTCTCCCTATCCCTAGCACTAATTAAAGCTAAACTCTGGGCAAGGATCATTATCTTCTTAGAAATGTGTCTATGAACTACATTGAATCGATTCTCTTTGATTTAATACCACATAACATGAGAATTGATTAAAAGAAAGTAATCATACAAGAAAAAAAAGACTGTGGAAAGTAAAAATAAAGAAGTGCTGGGAATGTGGAACCCAAAGAATGAAATGTAGTGAGTTTCCTGGGTTTTTATTTACTGTGTGAGTCTCAAACTTGGTGCTCAAGAACCCAGCAATCCCAAAACACTATAAAGGGAAAAAAAAGCCCCAAGTAAAACTTATTTTCTCCAACAAGACCTAGGAAAAAAGGCAGCCTGGCAAGGTTTAAAACAGACAGTGGCCAGTGCCGCAGCTCAATTGGCTAATCCTCTGCCTGCGGCGCCAGCACCCCGGGTTCTAGTTCCAGTCAGGACGCGAGATTCTGTCCTGGTTGTTCCTCTTCCAGTCCAGCTCTCTGCTGTGGCCCGGGAGTGCAGTGGTGGATGGCCCAAGTGCTTGGGCCCTGCACCCGCATGGGAGACCAGGAGGAAGCACCTAGCTCCTGGCTTTGGATCAGCGTGGAGCGCTGGCCGCAGCGGCCATTGGGGGGGTGAACCAACAGAAAAGGAAGACCTTTCTCTCTGTCTCTCTCTCTCTCACTGTCCACTCTGCCTGTCAAAAAAAAAAAAAAACAGTAACTGATATACTCTAGATAAATACAATTAAGAAATGCTATTGTCCCACCCCCACCTCCGTAAGCAAAGTCCATGCAGGAACCTAAACCTCTACCTTTACTTGGCTATAACAAGGTATCCTCCCATTCTTCAGGGATCCTGAGCTTCCATCCCCACCCAGAAATATTCCCCACCAAACATCAACTGCAGGTAAATAGGGAATCTAACTGTTGACTCCCACCTAGAAGTAACAATGCTATGCCTCTATGCCTTTGCCCCTACAGTATTAGAGACTATTAGACTAAATAGTGTATTTAAATAATGTCATTTTAAATTTTTGGTAAAACACACATAAAATTGATCATCAAAACCATTTTAAAGTATACAGTTCAGTGGCATTGAGTCCATCTACATTGTTGTGCTACCATTACCACCATCCATCCACAGAACTTCTTTCCCCTTGTAAACCTGAAACCTTGTGCCTATTAAACAAGAACTTCTCATATTGCTACTCCATAGCCCTTAGCAACAATCATTTTACTCTCTGTATCTATGAATTTTATTTCTCTAGGTTCCTCAATAAGAATCATAGAACAGTTGTTATTTGTGACTAAATTATTTCACTTAGCATAATGTCAAAATTCATCCATGTAGTTTTATGTGTCAGAATTTTCTCCCTTTTTAAAACCAAATAATATTTCAATGTGTATATATAGCACATTTTGCTTATCCATTCATCTATCAGTGGTTACTTGGGTTACTTCTACCTTTTGGCTATTGCAAATAATGCTGCTATGAATGTGAATAGGCAAGTATCTCTTTGAGTCTCTGCTTCCCATGTATGTGTGGTGTGAATGTTATTGGGTCATATGAGTATAGTAGTTCTATGTTTAAATTTTGAGACACTGTCCAACTACTTTCATGACAGCAGACAACTTTATATTCCAATGAACAATGAACAAGGGGTCTGATTTCTCCACATCCTCTCAAGATTTGTTTGATCTGCTTATATGATAGTAGTCATCCTATGGCTATATAGTCATATCTCATTGTGGTTTTGATTTATGTTTCCCCAATGATTAGTGAAGTTTAATATTTTTAGCTGTTTATCAGCCAGCTGTGTATCTTTGTCTATTAAGGAAATGTCTGTTCAGGTCTTTTATTCACTTGGTAATTAATTGGTTTATTTTTGTTGTTGAGTAATAGGGATTCTTTATACATGTTATATGTATCCCCTTATCAGATAAATGATTTGCAAAATATTTTTCCACTCTCGCCCTCAAGATTCCATAGGTATTTTAAAATTTTTTTCCTTTGCTGTGCAGAAGAGTCCAAGATTGATGTAATCCCATTTGTCTGTTTTTACCTATATTGCTTGTGCTGCTGACATCTTATCCAATAAGTCTTTGCCTATGCCATTGTCTTCATTATTTCCTCTACATTTTCCTCCAAAATTTTATGGTTTCTAGTCTAATATTTAGATCCCTGATCTATTGTTTATTGATTTTTGTATAGAGTGTAGGCTAGGGTTCTTGTTTCATGCTTCTGCATCCAGAGATCCAATTGTTCCAACACCATTTGTTGAAGATATTATTCATTTTTTTAAAACTTTTATTTAATGAATATAAATTTCCAAAGTACAGCTTATGGAGTACAATGGCTTCCCCCCCCATACCTTCCCTCCCATCCACAACCCTCCCCTTTCCCAGTCCCTCTCCCCTTCCATTCACATCAAGATTCATTTTCAATTCTCTTTATAAACAGAAGATCAGTTTAGCATATATTAAGTAAAGCTTTCAAGTTTGCACCCACATAGAAACACCGAGTGAAAAATACTGTTTGAGTACTAGTTATAGCATTAAATCTCAATGTACAGCACATTAAGGACAGAGATCCTACATGAGGAGTAAGTGCACAGTGACTCCTGTTGTTGACTTAACAAATTGACACTCTTGTTTATGGCATCAGTAATCACCCTAGGCTTTTGTCATGAGTTGCCAAGGCTATGAAAGCCTTTTGAGTTCACCGACTCTGATCATATTTAGGCAAGGTCATAGTCAAAGTGGAGGTTCTCTCCTCCCTTCAGAGAAAGGTACCTCCTTCTTTGAAGACCTGTTCTTTCCACTGGGATCTCACTCACGGAGATCTTTCATTTAGGTCATTTTTTTTTTTTTTTTGCCAGAGTGTCTTGGCTTTCCATGCCTGAAATACTCTCATGGGCTTTTCAGCCGGGTCCAAATGCCTTAAGGGCTGATTCTGAAGCCAGAGTGCTGTTTAGGACATCTTCCATTCTATGAGTCTGCTGTGTATCTCGCTTCCCATGTTGGATCATTCTCTCCCTTTTTTTATTCTATCAGTTACTATTTGCACACACTATTCTTGTTTATGTGATCCCTTTGGTTCATAGTCCTATCATATGATCAATTGTGAACAGAAATTGATCACTGGGACTAGTGAGATGGCATTGGTACATGCAATCTTGATGGGATTGTATTGGAATCCCCTGATATGTTTCTAACTGTACCGTTTGGGGCAAGTCAGCTTGAGCATGTCCCAAATTTCACATCTCTTCTCTCTCTTATTCCCACTCTTAGATTTACCAGCAATCACTTTTCAGTTAAGTTTCAACACTTAAGAATAACTGTGTATTGATTAGAGTATTCAACCTAAAGTATTAAGTAGAACAAACATAAAAAATACTAAGAGGGATAACATATTAAGTTGTTCATCAACAGTCAGGGCAAGGGCTGATCAAGTCACCGTTTCTCATAGTGTTCATTTTACTTTAACAGGTTTCCTTTTTGGTGCTCAGTTAGTTGTCACTGATCAGGAAGAACATATGATATTTGTCCCTTTGGGACTGGCTTATTTCACTCAGCATAATGCTTTCCAGATTCCTAACAGGGATCACTTTTCAGTTAAAATTTAAATACCTAAGAATAATTGTAGGTTATTCACAGAGTTCAACCAATAGTACTAGAACAAAAAAAAATACTAACATGGATAAAGTATTACATTGTACATCAACCGTCAGGACAAGAGCTGATCAAGTTACTGTTTCTCATAGTGTCAATTTCACTTCAACAGGTTTCCCCTTTGGTGCTCAGTTAGTTGTCGTCGATCAGGGAGACCATATATTTGTCCCTTTGGGACTGGCTTAGTTCACTCAGCCTGATGTTTTCCAGACTCCTCCATCTTGTTGCAAATGACCAGGTTTCATTGTTTTTGACTGCTGTATAGTATTCTATAGAGTACATGTCCCATAATTTCTTTATCCAGTCTACTGTTGATGGGCATTTGGGTTGGTTCCAGGTCTTAGCTATTGTGAATTGAGCTGCAATAAACATTAAGGTGCAGACAGCTTTTTTGTTTGCCAATTTCATTTCCTTTGGGTAA